GGGGGAGAGTAGGAAGACCTAGAAGCTGCTTTCCTTCTCTACAGTCTATTTCATTTGGGAAAATCCTTTACCTTGCTCATGTGGTCTTCTCCAAGAAAATAACTAACCATGTTCTTGTTTATAAGATGTACTGGCAGTGTCTGCCTTGTGCAGTTACTAGTGAAAATGAAGTTTCACCATTTTTATCACTGACTGCTTCCTCTGCTTGATAGCAGAGCTGTCTGTATTTCTGAATGTATACTTGTTTTTTCTTTTTGTTAATGCTGTGTGTCTTCTTACTTGGCCACAGTATTCCCTTTGCATTTTGGCCTGCATTTTCACATCTGTGTTTCCTGATTTATTTTAGGAGACTAGCTTACATGGTTGTCTGTGTATACCAGGAAGAGATGGGTTTTGCTGGCTGAATAACCTGAATTTCTTAGGGTATGTTTCTGGCCAATTTTCTGGCCTATTTTTCTATTTCTGTTGAAGTGCCTCTCTTCATTGGCACTAGAAGGTGCTTATGCAATTGCTGTTTCAGCCAAGCATGTAGGTGTAACCTGTTACATTGGCAAGAACTGAGACGTCTCAGCTTCAGTGTCCTGATCAAATTTTCTTTGGTAATTTAATTCCAACAACTTTTTTTTTTGCCGTAGTTCCAGGAGTGTGAGCTTCCTTAAGCCATGTTATTCAATTGTGTATTAATACCATATGCTACTGACTGTCTTTCTCTATGTCAGCTGAGATTATCACATTGTGATATCATCTATAAACCAAAACCTACAAAGCGATTTGGAAGTGTTTTAGGGTGAAGGTGTAATAAATGTAGTTTTTGTTTTGCTGTGCAGGTGGAAATTTGGACTAGACTTTTTCTTATGTTTTCTGATTTACAGAAGTGTAGGCAGTGCTAATCTTTCTATTTATGCTTTTTCAATTACATCTTGCTTTGCTACTACTAGCAAAGAAGTTGGTGTTTATGCTCAAAAATACTAAATTCTATGTCGTCTTACAAAAGAATTCATTTGAGAATACTGACTTGCAGTGTTGCATTCTAAAAACAGCTTTGGAAAGCTTAAGAAATTGTACAGTTCCTCTCCAAAAGGAAGCATAGCATTTCTTTGTGTTTCTTTTTTTTAAATGGTATTTTGCTTGTGTTGATGAAAAATAGGTTGTGTATGTGAGAAGTTTACTTTGAAGCACTTTCTTAGGTGAGATATTGTTTAGTATTTGAAATTAATGCTCTTTAGAATCCTTAGTGCTTTGATGTGTCTGGGTTCTGGCAAAATTTCTTGGAGCTGGAAAGCTTTAGGATTCTAAAACAGGTTTTTTAACCTTTGTCCTCTTTGGATTTGTGTTTTAAATGTGTGTCTGGATGCATGCACCAGCAGATGTGCACACAGACACTACAAACTTCCATATACATTTCTACTGCTGGTTCTGCTTGTTTTTGTAGATAACATGATATATCTTAAAAGTATTACTAGTTGCAGGAATTAAAGCTTTCTAGGTGATGTGGTGTTTTAGTATAGCTAAGTTTTTACTTTTGAGGAACAGGTTTGTGTGAGCAGCAAAATTTATTCCAGACCACCTCTTAAGTTTTATTTATTCTTTACCACGGATGATTCCCTTGTGACATGTTACCAAATGACACAGAAATCATGTACTACAGGGCTGTTCTTCCAATTATTTTCAAACCTTTCCTTTTATCTTACTCTTAATTTTTGAAAGAGAATTTACATTTTTTTTAGCTTTCTTTTGTGCTATACAGTGCTACATTTGGGCAACAGTATGCTTCATAGAGATTTCCAGAACATTTGTAATCATCTCTTCTCCCCTCACCCTTTCCTTTCCTCTCAGTTGTCATAGTTCCCTGCTTTTCTTATCTCTCCTTGTACTGCTGCAGCTTTCAGATGATAATGCACAGCTCGAGCAGCAGCTGCTGCATAATAGCTGCAGCACCACTTAGAGCTGACCTAATGTGAGAATAAATGAACAAATCTGTGATTTGCTTGTGGGCTTACCTACAGGAACTTTTTTTCAGCTTGGGTGTATTAGATGTCATCACTGGAAGGTGAACTGCGGATGGCCTCCGTGGCGTCCTTGTTCCAGCAGCTCCAAGGATTTGTGCTGCACTGGGGGTGGTGGCACAACAAACAAGTGTTGGGATTCCTAGTGCTTTTTTGCAGTCACCTGTTTCTAAACATTAGTTGCTTTTTTTCCTCTACCACTTCTTTATTCACGCTGCCGTGGCCGAGAACACTGCAGTAGGAACAGGTGGAGCGACACGTTGTGGTGTCACGCTGTGCTTTGTCAAGCCACTCTGCTCATTTCCTTTCATTTCCTCCGGGTGAGCGAGCCAATGTTCTCCTAATCTTTTGCACGGGGGGCCTGAGGCTGCAAAACGGAGCTGGAAAGTGTCCTGCTGGTTTAGTACACACAGCCCGGGGCTTACAGCTTATTTTGGGGCTGGCTGGTGAGGTTAGCAGCAGCTGCCCTGTCTGTGCTGCACAGATGCCTGGGCTGCTCCTCAGCTGCTGCAGTTGGTGATGCAGGACTGTAAAGAGAGCTGTCACCTATTTTTGTCAGATGATTTAAGTGTTAATACTCACTGGGAATACTGTACCTGTGTATATTCAAGGCAGTAGTTTAGTGAGGAAAAACATTTCTATTTTACTCTTAACCAGTATATGAATTTTTCTTGCTGTGACTTTTAGATACAACCTTACTGATGCTCTGCTGGTTTAAGGATACAAGCAAGTTAAGATTTATAGAAGACATAGTTGAAGAAATTGTTGAGGTGTGTCAGGCCCAAGTTTGACTGACCTACCCCTGATTTTTTTTTCCCTGTCTCCAGTTGTAGACCTTGCTTTATCAGGTGAAGTCCCTTTACTTTAAGAATACTTCCTCCATAACTAGATTCTGACTTTAAGGTTTAGAAGGGGGAAATAAAATAGTATGAAGGTTACATGAGGCCTTGAAATTGACTGATTTGAAGAGAAGAATCTTTCTGCAGGCTTACTGCATGCTGTAGTCTGCTCTCACCAGATATATTTTCAGCTTTTTCTCATTTCATTTTTCTTTCATCAAGTTCTCTGGTAGTTTTTTTGTCTTTCAGTAGGTACTGGTTGTTGCAGGGACACGAGGGATAAGCATTGTTACATTAGTTTTATTTTCTTATTGCTATTAGATGAGAAGTCTCCATTCACTAGGGGTTAGTGGTTTAGATAACTTAAAATGGCCCTAATGTTACATTCAGGTAATTTTGAATGTTGCGGCGTTTGAGCAGATCCATGCAGAGTTTAATATTTTTTAAAAACAGAGGGTAAATGTGGTGGTTGAACAGCGAGTATGTGGATAAAATGAATCTCTAAGGCATTGTTTGGTGTTGGAGAAATGTCAGTGATGGAAAAGTGAAAATGGCTGTCATGAAGTGAGTTAAAAAAACTGGCTTATTAATCAACTTCATTATAATTCCAAATGGAACTGACAAGATGTACATCCACTGTATATCTTGCTGTAGGACTTTTGTTGTGGTTGCTACTCGACCACATTATGTAGCATTTCATTAATGACCTGGAAGAGGTCATAAAATTGTTATCAATAAAGTATTTAGCCAGTTGAAACCTGGGGGCAAAAAATGCATATATATTTGTGAGAAGTAAGGCTTGTGTGTTTGGAATTAGTGTGGTGTATGGAAAGGGAAGCCAGGATCTGTGAGTGAGGCTTGGCAATTGGCAGGCCTTGGCAGTCAGGGACCAAAAGTGCCAGAGTGCTCTAGAGTGTTACTGATGGTGTAGTTTGTAGATCACTGCCAGCCTGATCTGGTCTGCCTTTAGAACATGGCATCCATTGGGGTGTTGTTGAGGTGCAGCCCCAGGCAGCCTCACTCTCGCTCTGCCCTGGTGGGGTTTTGGGGAGATTTGGAAGGGTAAAGGTGAGAGAAAACTCTTGGTTGGGATAAAGGCAGAGTAATGCCTACAGCTGAAGCAGTGCATGCCAGCAAAGCAGAACAAGGAGTGAATTACTTCCCATGAGCAGGCAGATGGATGTTCAGCAATCTCCAGGAGAGCCAGGCTACATCACTCCTAGTGGTGACTTGGGAAGACAAACACCATCACTGTGAGCATCACCCCATTCTCCTGCTCTCATCTTAATGCTTACATAAGGCATATGTGTATGTAGGCAATTCTGTGGTATTTAAAAACAAAGGCATAGTTAAATAGTTTGGTCAAAAGGTTTGGGTTAGCTGGGTCCTCATCTGGTCTGATTTATGATGGTTTTATTCTTGTATTCCTACTAATGTTTAATCTGACTCTTGGTGGAAAGTAAGGATTGAGTGAACAAGAGGGTGAATTTTGTCACAGGTAGAGTCTTACAGAGTTATGAATTTTGTTTGCCTGGAAGTCTAGGACAGATTGGAAATATTTTCTTTCCGTAAAGCTTTGTTTAATATCTATATATACATGTTGCATACTATTCAAAAGACAAATCTTAAGATTAGCAAAGTAATACCTTTCTAAGTGTTTGTGGTTTTAGGTTTACAGAGTTGTAAGGATGTGCAGCTTTGAATTCATGTTGTGCTTCTGCTGTGATTAGAAAAGTGGGTTATGCCAGTATTATAGAAGTAATTTAGTATGCAGACTATATTTTTTGGTAATATATTATGTTATAAAAATAGTTTGTCGTAATATTTGGATCTCAAAATCCAGCTTTGATTTTTGCAGTTGAAGAATTGGGAGTGCTGTATGGTAGAGGAGGGTTGTTTCTCATCCAGTGTCACTGAATGAGAAGTTACTCTTTTTAACATCAAGATAAATTTTGAGAGTCAGTTCTACATTACCATAATTACCAGAATAAAGATTACAGGCCACATGCAAGTTAGACTTCCCTTGAAAACCTGGAGTAGACTGTTTTCTTACTTGTCAAAATTTTTAGATATATTGTGAAATAAGCAAACCTCCACTAAGATGGAAGAAGGGTGTAAATGGTTGGCAGTTTTTTTTTTTTTCCTTTGGGGAGGTCTTTTTTTTTTTTTTTTTGTTGGTTGTGTATTTCTTTGGTTTTTAGGTTTGGTTGCTTGTTTTTTTTTGGTTTTTTTTTTTTTTTGGATATAATGATTTTATAATCAAGAATTATCCTTAAAACTTTAGAACACTGGTGTTATTTCCCTCACCTTTTACCTCTGTAGGTTAGTTATTTCTTAAACATTTGCTATGTTAGAAGAAGACCCCTCTGGAGGGGTATCGTGTCCCCCTCCCCTTTTATTGTAGGCAGCTGCTGAACATACTGGCCAGGAGCTGCTAAGGGTGGCTTCCTGTCAGGATTGCTTCATGCAAAATCACAAGGAAGCAAATGTTTCTTGCATCCTCCCATTGTGCTGTTTCCTGTGGAGCAGACTGGATGCATGTCCTGGATACAGGTTTTTTATGGCACTGTACGTGTTGGGATGATCCAATCAAATTGTTCTTGGTATCCCCTATAGTCTGAGCGTAGCAGGAAATGAGGCTTCCTCTCAACCTTTTGTTCTCAAGTTAGCCTGACTGTGGAGAGCTCTTGGCTCTATCAGAATCCAGAATGAAGGTGAGCTCAAAATTGATTTAGGGTTCGGTTGTTTTAAGGTTTAAGGTTGTTTTAAGGTTGTTTAAGGTAAGTTTAATCTATAATTTTTAAGCTTTGTTTTAAATGTTCCCTTTCTTAGTCATTCTTTCTCCCTTGTTTTCCCTTTCTGATCCAGTTCTGGTTTCTGCATGAGCACCCGTCCTGTGTATTTCATTTTTTTTAGGATCAGGGCTAGGCTTTTGTGTTTCTGTTCACACTTCAAGTTTACTTACACTTCAAGTTTGTTTAAAAACTACCACAATATGCATGTAGCGATAACGGAAATTTCACACTCTTAATACTTTCTTGTTCCATAGCAGCTTAATTTTTTTCCGTAATTTGAGCAGTGGTTAAGCTGATCTACAGTCTGGTTTTGACTTTATAAATTATGCTGTTAATAAAGTCCATCATGTCTGTTTGTTAAATCAGACTATTTTTTTCTCCTTAATGCTTTTTTTTGTGTACACAGTATTTTAATATTCCTTGTGTTTGAGGAAATGCCTTACAAAATTCACATCTAGGCCATTCCCTGATGCCTCTCCTTAGTCCTTACAGCTTCAAATAACCAAGATAAGTCTTTTTAAATTATCTGTAGTCCAGAGAAACTTGTTGAAGTAGGTATTTGACTTAATTTATGTGAGCAATAACTGCTTGGAGTATACTGCAGTGTGGTTCTGACTGCTTGGTGCTGTGTGTGTTGTGTGGCATTGCTTTTCTGAGCTGTGTAAATGCTACTCAAGCTTGAGGCACCTGTACAGGTTGGCACCTGTACAGCCCAGCTAGAACTGCTGCTTTCTGGGACCAGAGATGATCCTCAGTCTGAGGGGGGAGAAATGAGCATGTGAATGTGTGCAGGTACCTCAAATACTGTGGCTGCATTGGGAGTTTGTTGTTGGGTTTTTGTTTGGCTGGTGTTTTTTAATTTTTTTTTTTTTTTTTTTTTTTTACTAACACAGTCATTAAATGTTTCCTAAATCTGTTCTACCTTTCCTGTGATACTGCATCACCAGTCAGAACTGGTCTGGCAGCCCCTTCTGTGATTACTTTCATAGCTTTTGTTAACACTTTTGCTTCTCTTGGGTTAAACTAGCCTTTCTTTGTTCCTTTCTCGCTTCTCCCCTGGGATTATGAGTTTTTCCTCTCCTGTCTGTGAAGGCTGTTTTCTGGGGTAAGGATTTTCTGATAGTGTCTGTGGGATGGCTCTGTTGTCAGAAAAGTAACTGGTTTTTGTTGACATTTTAGATAAAAACTGCTTCATTGCAGAAAACTAAATATCTTTCTGTTTCTTAAATCAGTTGGAAGAACTGCAGCAGCTGTCTTTTACTGTCAGCTTTTTAGTCTTGTACAAAGGAGTTCTGTGAGTTCTTTCAACCTATGCAAGAGCTTTTTTCATGAGGCTTTGGATGAGTGTTTCCATTACCTCGGGCAAATATTGGTTTGTGGGTTTTTTCCTTTTTTTAAAAAAATGTCCTCTTTTCCCTAAAAAATCCAGATGTGTAATGTCATCACCCAGTGCTTGAAAGTTGCTGGAGTGTTTTGTGCAAGATAATTCAAGGTTTGGATCGCCTTACCACAGTTAAAAAAATAAAAATAAAATTAACCTCTCCTTTCATCTGTCCTCTTCCCAAACCTCATCCTTGATCTAATCTGTCCAGCAATTTAATTATTTTTAAAATTCATTAATATTCAGGAATGCTGCTTTGCTCTGTGTCTTGTAATGAGATAGCATGTAGGTTGTAATACTTCTTAAAGTATTTGTAGTTATTTTCAAAGTACATTATAAAAAATCAGGTACAATGCCTGTGCATTGCTACAGAAAAGGAAGAGTATGCCAAGAGTAATGGTACCCAGTACCTTTTTTTTTTTTTGGCCAAAATGTCTTAGGAAAACTTCTGATACTTGTTTTATTCAACATTCTTGTAATTTAAATGATACTTGATATTTTTACTTTCTCAGTTCTTCAGGTTTTTTTCAAATGCAGGTGTTGCTATTATCCTTCCATTTAAAAGTGTCATAGTTTTTTGGGGTTTTTAATTTTTTGAGGAGAACCCCCCCCAGCCCCCCAGTTTTACTGGTTCATAACAACCACTAAAAGATTGATACTTCGATCATGCAATAGTTTCTACAGTTATGGGTTGTATGTACAGGGTAGAAGACTTGTTTCTATGACTTAACTACTTGTTTTTTGGTTCTTTTTCAGACTTTTGATGCAAATGACCTGTATCAGGGACAGAATTTCAGCAAAGTTCTTAGCTCTCTTGTGGCTTTAAATAAAGTGACTGCAGGTAAGTAGACTGCTCTGTCTTGTGCTGGCTTACTGCTACTTTCACTTTGCTTCAGTGCATATTTATATCTATGTTGTACCCATGATGAAGTGAACATATACAGCATTTTAAATGAGCTGTTGTTGAAGTTCATGTTTTTAAAGCTTTGCAGTGGCTCTGGGTTCTCTAGTCATGTCTTCTGCAGAAGGAAGCTTTGTGGTAGAGCTAAGCATAAGCCTTTAAGTTGGCAAGCAATTTAGAAAAATTATGTTTTTCAGAAAGGCCTGTTTTTTAGGTTTTCTTTTTTTTTATTTTCCTCCAAGTTTGAACTATGAAAGTTGACTTTTGCTCCATTCTGTCATTCTCCTATTTGAACAGCTTGGCAACATTTTTGCCCTTCCCGCCTACATTTCCCAGTGCTATCCTTTCTTGCCAATAACAAAAGGATAGCCAACATCTTTGATCCCTCAAGACACATTTTATTCATTTACCAGCTAGAAGTCATGAACCACTCACCTTAGGTTCTTTAGTGGGAGGAGAGAGAGCTGTAGAAATAACAGACAGGTGAGGGATGTCCATCCATCATTGTAGGGTGAGGCTGTGCTAAATTATGCCAGCTGGACCCTGGAACAGTCAAGAAATGTTAACATTGGCCCTTTGGGTTTCTTCCTTTTTCACCATCAGCAGCAAGTTTCAGTACTGGTCATTAGGTCAGAATCTGAGAGAGAGTCTAAAACAGAAGCATATGTGTCAGTTTTTGTGTGAGGAAGAAAAGGAAGGTGATAGAAAAGTCAGTGATGCATAATTTAATCATTTAATACTAGTGAGATAAGTATCTTGTCACATTTATAATCTCTCATCTGTTTAATGAGAGACTTTGTGGTTTTGCTGGCTTATTTTTTTCCTTTGCATTAGAAAGCACCCCTTAAAATTAAGTTTTGCAACCAAATCTTAGTTTTAATGAATCAGCATGGAGTAATACCATTGACTTCTTTGAAGCTGTTTAGACCAGTTGAAGATACTGCCTCTCATCTCAAGTATAAGTGCGAATGCAAACCAGTGCAGTGTATCTTTAAAACTGCTGTACACTGGCCATTGCTGCCTTGGCCATTGTTAAAGTGGATAAAAAGTGTGCCTGTTTTGTCCATGTGTCTATGGATCAATGCCTATTTCAATGAGCCACATTGGTTAGAAGAGACCTGGGCTGATCCCTTTCATGGTGGAGGCTTGGGGTGCTGGTATGGAAACCAAAAATCAAAACCATGTGCAAACTGTGGTGTTGTCTCATTCCTAGGAGCAAGCATAAACCTTCTTGTTCTTCCAAACAGTTTTCATTAACTGGGTGATTGTGTAGCAGGCATTTTAGGCTGTATCTCTCTGCTCTAGTATTAGAAGATGGATTTCAGATCCTCATGTGGTTCTGCAAGAATTTCAGGCATACACAGGTTCTTCTGAGATAGGCCTTCCTACAACAATGGGTATGATTACTGATGAAGGACTTCTGTGGGTTTTCACTCCATCAAAGTATCAATCTCTGGAGTGGTGGGATCAAGGAAGGAGGCTGCAGCCAGCACTGGACCTGGCTCTTGGGAGCTTCTTTTGGTTCAGCACCTGGCTGGCTGTGGCTCACTAAGCCAGTTCTTGTTGGCTGGGAACATCCCATCCTGGGGAGGTGCCATCCCAGTGTCCAGGGCTGAGGCTGCCCTGGTGCCCTACTCCTGGCTGGGATGGTGGGATGAGCCCTGTCCTGCTGCTCCCTCGATGCCTCTTGATCCACAAGGGACCCCAGCAGCCCCTGATGGCACACAACCCTTCAGGCGAACATATCACATGGGTGTGCTTCTCAGAGGAGACACCAATGGAAAAGGGGAGATGTTTTGGGAGGGTGTTGTTTACTTGAGAAGCAGCATTTTCCTTTCTTCTGTTCCTAGTCCTCCCTTCAAAGAAGAAAAAATAGCTTAGTTGGCAAAAAAAACTCAAAAAAACCCAGGATGAGGCAAAGGAATGTAGGAAAAAAGACAGTGGAAGGAATGTTTTAATTGAGGAGGAGATGAGGGGCTGTGGGAAGAGCTAAGAAACAGATGTAGCTGGCTTCACTTCAAGCAAGTTTTATGCAGTCAAAATTCTTGGCTACTAGCTAAAATTATGCTGGTTAATTACCTTTAAATAGACTGGTAGTGACTAGGAACAGAGAAATACAACCCTAATCCTCCTCTCTCTAAACAGACCAAGTTGTTTTCTTGTCTGTGTGGGGAAGAATTTGTCGATGTCTCATGATTTTAGATTATTTATTGCTATCATTTTTTAAATCTTAAATTACTGAGTAACTGCAGATACATCATGTCTGCTTTAAGCACGTGAATTTTACAGAGATAAGCAGAAGATATAGATGCAGATTGTTAAAATTCTAACATTTACTTTTTTCCCCCACCCTCATACAGACATTGGGCTGGGCAGTGACTCTGTATGTGCACGTCCCTCATCTCATCGGATAAAGTCCTTTGATTCTTTGGGATCCCAGTCTTCACACAGTAGAACTTCAAAACTCTTTCAGGGACAGTATCGGAGTTTGGTAAGTTCTGGAAGAATGAAATATGCTGTGGTGTGGTATTTTTCCCCCCTTTCTTCCCCCCTTTTTTTTTAATGAGCTTTGTAAGTAAATTATGGTGTAGCAAAGCAACTGTTTCTTCTCTTTCAGTCCTGTATTTTTAGCCTGTGAGTTTGTTTTTGTAGCTTTTTATATGATATTTCAAAATACATGCAGCTTTTTATGAACTTCAAACTATTTTTTCCCCCTTTAGTGCTCCTTGTTGTCTGCATAGACAGTATCTTCCTGGATTTTTGTTTTTCTTCTCAGTGTAAGGACTTGCTTTTCCAAAGATAAAAATCTAATTTTTAATCTGAGTTTAGAGCTGGTGATTGAAAATTATTCAAACCTCTGTGAAGGTGATACTTTTAATTTTGATAGTAGTGGTAGTTGTTCCTGTTTTCTGTTCTTTTTCAAGGTTGATCCTTCAACTTGCCTTTGGGTAACAGAGTTGTATAGGATATTGTTTTATAGTACAGCTGAATTCAGGGTTGCATACCTCATGGAAATTGTGATAAAATGTACTTTTAGTCACTGAAGGTTTGCAAGGAGGGTTCAGAACCCTAATGAAAGCTGCTATATCTGTGGCTTTCTTATGTGTGGTATAATGTGTTTTATCTAGTAGCAGAGCCTGTGGAAGTTTTTGCTTTGGCCACTAATTCAAGCTCCTGTTCTGCTGTTCACAGCCCACTCAGTTTTGCAGATGCAGCAGTTGGTGGGACTGGCTGTTAGCTGGATCACTGAAGTTATTGATGTTTTCAGTGTTTCTATCACTTTGGTGGTCTGAGTTGCTCTGTGCAAAGTTAGAGCAGAGAAGTATTAGAAGGAGGGAAAAAGATCTAGTGGCCAAACCCAGGAAATTGCTACTTTGGTTTTATTGGTGTAGATGATCTGTTTGGAACCGTTCTCACCAAGTTTGTACTCATTTCCTCTGCTGGAAAGCCAAATTGGCAGAGCATAGGTTTGTAGCTGATCTTACTATGCAATGTTTCTGCTTATTTTGTGGCTTTTTACTGTTAACTAAACCAAAACGTTCTCTCTTGTTGAGCAGAAAGGATGAAAGCACATAATGTACAAGCAGAAAACTAAGGCAGAGGCACTTGTTTGAAAATGTGCTGATCTAATTGTCAAGCACTGGGACTTACACTATCTTGGGACTTTCTGCATGTTTTCAAAGTTGTTTGCCTTCATTTTCCTGAAGCTTCTCAGCTGCTAACTCTGATGAAAGTCATATTGAGTTGTGATACAATAACATGATTGCTGGGGTTATGAATTAAGCTGACATGTAAGATCCTAGTGACAGCATGCAGTCTTTTCATCACCTCAGTTATGCAGGCCATCTGTAGGTGAAATTCTTTTGCCTGGATAGCTGACTAGTAGTGCTTACACAGTCATTTTCTTACTAGGCTATGTTTTTAGCTGTACTGATACCAATTCTTAGTTATGATAGAGACAAACATGATTTGTAGTGCTATTCTCTCAGTTCCAGTACGATGTTTTTGAAGTTGTCAAAGTATTGCACTTTTTTAGCATAAAAGTTAGCCCAGACTCTCATGAGATACTTGCATGGGGCAGATACCCAAAATTGGCATCTAGAGACAAAATCCTGAATTTGAAAATCATTCATTTGAAAGGCTTGTTAGTTACTTTTAAGATCATTCAGATGTTAGGACAGAATGATAGTCTGCGTTCGCATCCATGGTAGGGGATGAGCATACATGCACAGTGTATATGGACAGCTGCAAGTCTGACTGCTGCAGGCTTCCAGCTTTGCTGACCTTCAGAGAAATAATTTGGGAGTACTTATTCAAGGTAAATTGCATAACTCTTTCATAGGTTTTGTGAAAGAACACTCCTTCATTGGCAGGCCATGGAGACTTGTACCTTTAGCTGTGGAAGCCACCAACCTGATCAGTAAAAAAGAAAAGGAAAAGGTTTTGAGCTGCAAAACCTTGATATATCCAAAATTAAATTAAACCAAACTCAGTTTCTCCCTCCTTGCAGCACAGAGAATTTTAGGAAAAAACTCTCTAATGTGGAGCATTTGGTTCTTTGTTGTTGTCAAAGTCAGTTTCAATTTATGCTAGTTATAGAAAATGTATGTGGTTTTTTTGTGAGAGCAATAATTATTCTCATTTTAGCTGTTAACCCCTTCTGATTTGGAGGGGCTGTAATAAGTAAAATATATACTCCCATGCCTGATAAAAATCTGTAGATTAAAAATGACAGAAATACTGGAAATGCTAAATCACTCCTTATAAAGGCTTTTGAGTAAAAATGTGTGGAGACTGTTGTTTGTGGAGGAAACTATTTCTATTATGGACATTTCCGTTTTTCTCATTGTTCAGGTCTCTAATGATCATTTTATTCTCTGTTTTCTCTTACTAGGACATGACAGATAACGGCAACCATCAGTTGGTGGTGAGAGCCAAATTTAATTTTCAACAGACAAATGAAGATGAACTTTCTTTTTCAAAAGGTGATATTATTCATGTTACAAGAGTGGAAGAAGGAGGCTGGTGGGAAGGAACCTTGAATGGAAAAACAGGGTGGTTTCCAAGTAACTACGTACGAGAAATCAAATCAAATGGTGAGTTTTGAAGGGGAGAGCGTATTTGCAGCAATTCTTTCTTTTGGTAGAGGTTGATGGTTGTTTGATTTATTAAAACTTTTAATGTTTTTTGATTAAGCTTGATTTTATTTACTGAACGTCATTCACAGCAATGAATAATGCCTGGGAACTTGCACTTCCCCACCCCAGTTCACTGTATGGGATGGCTTCTGAATTAGTAGTAAGTGTGCAGAAAACTCCCCTTTCTGTTTGCTTGGCTCACTTTCTTGGTCTGAATTCCTAGAATATGGGATTTTGACTCAGATGCTGACAGACTTTGAATTGGTGCTTTTGGTTTAAATAGTGAGAGATTTCCTAAAAAGAAAACAAAAACACCTGAAAAAACCACCCAAACCTAACAAAAATTTACTCAGTACATCCCATTACTTAGAAGTAAACAGCTGCAGGAAGGAAACCCAATTCTATCAAGATCTACTTTTGAAAGTGAATGTATTTGTGATTTTTCTTTTTCTTTCTTGTTCATGTGCCTTCAGCTTTTCTTCATACAGGCTTCATCCTTCTGCTGAAGTTTTATTTTGAACTTTATGCAAAGTGCCTTCTGTAAATGTCTTCTGAATATCAGAAGTAACATTCCTTTTTAATCCACTAGGACGTTGCTGTGGGTGACATAATATCTCTGTCTCCTTTATTTCCTTTTTTTACCCCATGTCTTTCCTTGTCTTGGCTTATTTTCAGAGATTAGGGATAAGCCTGGTAGGATAAAATTACCCAGGGTCTCTGGAAGGCTTTACCACTGTTTCCTTTGTGACAGCTCCAGTGAAAACACACATCTTTGGGGCTGTGCTAAAGTCTTGGGCATGGCTTTTTTTGTTTTTTCCTTCTCCCCCATTATGAAGCAGCTATTCAGATGTCTGATTGCAGTGAGGTTGTGGTAGCAAAAGTCCATTGTAAAACTTAACCTTTTCTCCTTTGGTTGCATCCTCTTATTTTCTTGATTTACTATCTCCAGTCTGTTGCTGCTAGTCTGAGATCTGCAGCTTCATTGCCCTTTTCAACCAGCTTCTCCCAGACATAGTCACAATGTACGACTTGGCTTTAATGTTCTTTAGAGATCTCTCAGATGCAGCTTATCCTGAGAAACCATTCTTGAAGCCTGTTTTTAGTTTGTAGTGTTTTAGCATCAGTCATGATGACCCTCTTGTCTCATTGCTATTCATTTAAATCATTGCTGCAGAGATTTTGTTTGGATTTCATCAGTTTTGACCTCTTCCGACTCCTGGAATCTGGGTAGATAATTAAGCTCCAGAATAGAAATGCTTTAACAGTGAACATGCAAGAACCAGAAGTTGTCACTAACTGGAATTAAGTGGTTCTTGTTTTATTAGGAACACTTGTTGAAGTAACCCTTCTAAGTAGGAAGAGACAACCTGTAGTGCCAAGGTTAGTACCCAGTGCAGTCTGATACTTGTGACTCCTTGCAACCCTGTCTGATCCCTGGGGCTGGCATGGTTTTTACTTTCACTTCTTGCCCTCAGAAGAATTTTCTCCCAAGTCCTTTTCCCTCCACTTTATAGGTGTATTCTCTCTGCTACAACAGTTCATCCCTTCTGGCTTCTGCAAGACTTCTTGCATTCTTGGACTGCTATCTCATATGCTCAGTTTACTCTGTGGAAGTTTCTTCTGCTTGTGCCCATGCTTTTCTCTGCTCAGGAAGCTTAGTTCGTTGAGTATTACAAAGTTGAAATGACTGAGTGGTAGCTCACTAGCTTTCACTGTTTTCCTCCTCCATTTTAAAATTACTGTGTTTGTCTTTTTCCAGTACTTTATGGAACTTCAGTTGTGCTCTCTGGTTTCAGATATGGATATAGCTAGTTCTCTTATTATCAAATCAGCACAATAGCTATTGTGTAATTTATCAAAATAGTAATTTTAACTTGCTTTTATGCATTTGTAGGTATATGTTTGAGTAGCCTGAAGTTGACTTCTTAATGAGGAGGATGCAGGGTGGTAGAAGGAAGCATGATACCAAGAGCAGCTTCTTAGTGTGTTAGTAACTGTGGAGTTGCAGATTAGCTTTACCCTTCATGTATGTATGTATGCTGTAGCCTGCTTTGTTACTACTGCCCTTATGACCATTGTAGTTGTATTTTAAATGGTGACATGACTTCTGCTTACTTTTGCTTCTTTTTGTGTGTTTGTGGTCAGTGTATATGTTTGTGATATTTGTTCCATGTCAGTTTGCATTCACTTTTTCTGTTCTTTGACATGCAAGTGACTTTTAAAGGAATTATCATTCCCGTGAGCCAATTCTGCTTATGTTGTTACTAGTGGGACTTCTTTTTTTGTCCATATTTTTAAGTTTACTAAATTCTTCTTACTTGAAGTCCATTGTTGTAATTTTGCTGCACTGTTTCTTTTATTTTATTGCTTGTTTCCATGAAACTGCTTATGAGCATTTCTAGTCTCAACTAAATTTTGCTTTATGGATATTGTTGAAGATCCTATAGAGAGGGCTTTTCTGGAATTCTCCTCCCTTCTGTATCCAAAAGCATTGTCTCTGTGTCCTGCTGCTGGACTTTCTTTGTTCTGTTGTTCTTGTTGAAACAAGGATGTAATGCTGTTTGATACAAAGCTCTGAAGTTGCTTGAATAGGTGGATGTTCATGAGAAGCTTCATCTAGGTCATATGTAATTTCTGTTGCCTTCCTGTGTCCCTGCTCTTTTAAGTTTGTCTTCATTAGGAGAGTTGGCATTTCTTGAGCTGATAATCTTACACTGTCCATTTTTCTTTACTTCCTAGTAACTATATATACACCGTACATCAGGATTTTCCTAATTCAGGAGTATTTTAAGTGCCTTTATGTCTTAATCATGAAGTTGAAATATAGAAGTGCTCTTTTTTCCCTTAGGTAATTTAAAAGTGGTTAGGAGAACTTGCAGACTTGCTAGCTCAAATTCAAAATGTGTTACAATAGATTGATTTTAAAAAAAGATCCAGATAGGATTGTTGAAATATATGCTCTTGATTAAGGTGTCTCTGAAAAAATGTTCATTCTGGACACCTCATTTGTTTTCAATGAACTTTGTAAAATGGTCTGGCACGCTTCTTTCTTCTCTGAAATATAGCTGAAAATACTGTAAATACTTAGAAATTCTGTATAGGATGATGCATTCTATGGAGAGCTCCCAGGACATGACTAAATAAGCTCCTGGCTTTCACTAAATTAAATCCCCTCAGTCTGCTGTAACCTGACCTCTGCAAATTGAGTAGAAGAAGAAATGAATAAAGTTATTTGTGCATGTGTGTTTTTGTTTTAATTCTCACAAACTTCATGGGCATTAGATGTTTGGATAAGTGGATTTTTGTTCTAATTTTAAATCCTCTAGTGTAAAAAATTGGTAGATATGTAATCTTAGCTTTTATGGTGGCTCTGAAGTTATATATGCAAGGAAGGGAAGAAAGAGATGTGTGGCGCTGGAGCTGCCTTTACTCACACTGATTTCTTCAACTGTTTAGAAGACAAGTAAGCTGCATTACATAAATTACACCAGCAGAGAATATCACATGATAAGGTATCTCACAGTGGTTGTGCCGTGGCTGGCACTTGTTTGTTTAGCTGTGCCTTAGTGATTACAGTTAGCACACAATGCTAATGAGGTGAGCTACAAATGGTTGTAGGACACATACTGAGATTGTTGAGCAAGGCACAGCATTTCATTTTCTTAGGCTGGACAATGACATTTTGGGGGAAAATAAATTTAGTTGAGATGGAAGACTGGGTTTGTTTTGGTTTTGAGGGTGTATTTATTCTGTCCCCCTCCTTGACCCAAGGGGAAAAAGGGGATTTGTTTAAAGTTGTGATAGTTATGATCAAATATGTAAAAAAAAAAAAAAAAAGTACTGTTTTCTATTCAGGTACATACCTACACTGTGAACTTCAAAACAAAGGTCCATTTCTCTCTCCCTCCCCCCTGTGCCTGTGTTTTAATTTCCAATTTCAAACCCTCTAACATCTTATGTTTTTAAATGTTCTTTGATCCCTAGTCAGGAAGTACTTTGAAATGAAAGGATTTTGGTTTTATTCTGCTCTACTATTACATGTGACAGGGTAAAAATTTATGTGTAAACTTGTTAAGATACTTGACAGTGTGGCCTTATGGAGGTTGTTTTTGCTTACATAAAATAGAACAGGAAGAGGTGAAGGTGTAGGTGGAATCTTGTCTCTTACAGTGCTGCTTCTGTCTCACAGGGTACTTAGAGAGATTTGGAGACCTAGTTTTGAGGGCTCTCTTGCAATAAAAAGAAGGGTGGTTAGCCAGAATGGGATGCACTGGCTTAGCTACTGTCAGATGTTAATCAGATTTTAAAAAACCCACATGGTCCGTTACTGAGTTGTATCCAAGCATAATCCCTTTAAATGGCATGAGATTACACAGAAGGGAATACAGCTTTGTGCAAACTACATTTGATATGTCACAAACTTTCTTCTAATTCTTTGCAGAAATTAATGTATCATTACCGCCCAAGCTTCTGCTGTGCCTTCTTGACAGTTATTAGTATCAGGCCCAGTGCAAATTAGTGATAATGTTTCTTTTAGTTGGATGTTGAAAACAAAATCAGTGTAGGGAAAAGGTCAGAATATAGTGGAGGAGTAGAGTGTCAGCTGCTTCCATCCTGTGGTGTGTGAGGGAAGGAGAAGTTACACTTTTGGCTTTGGAAAAAAAAGCAAAGAAAAAAATAACTAAAACCTCATGAAGAATGTTAGTTTTTCGCCCCCCCCAGCCGTGTACACTCAGAGGAATGTTGTTTCCTTTTGTCAAGTGTAACTCTACAGGCATCAATAAAATAGAGGTTGGGGCCAGTGAATGCTATTGGGGCAGAAGTGTTGGTGGTGTCTTTTGCAGAGTGGAGCACTGCAGCAGTGCCTGAGCCCTCTTGAGAACTGGGAATGGGTTTAGGACTACCCTCCTGATGCCGGGCTTGGACTGATTAGTCTAGGAAGATGGAGCTTGTTTGCAGCACTTTGCTAATAGGGACCACACAGTTTTCGGTGTTCTTGCTGACACATCTTTCCTCCCCTAGTGCAGGATGAAATAACCCAAATTGGATCTTTTTATCTAAACTGTGCAGCACAGCACAGTAATAGCTGTGTGTTCTTGTGGCAGTATGGTCAAAGTGCCTTAGTAAAGTATGTTCTGAGGGGAGTAAATACTCTGTGGAGTAGCACAGAGTGTTGCATGAAAATGAATATGGCATAAACTGAAGACATGACAGAAGAGAATGTGGCAATGTTGGGTAATTTGAAGGTATGTAAGTTAAAATAGAAAGAAACAAAGTATTGGGAAGGATTGGGTAAATTGTCTTTTTACAGCCAATAAATAGACATTTGTAAAGAATAAGATAACTTCATTTTAGGGAGTTTGTGGCATCTTATACCACTTAGGGAAAGGTTATAAAAGCAGTTGCTTCCACTGAGGATAATTATTTGCTGGAAAAGTAATGCTAAAAAGCCTGTTCTACTCTCATTCTCCACCCAAAGATGATCTGTGCAGTGAAGTCCATCTGGTTTATCACAAGACAATGCATTGTCAAGTGTGGCTGAGGGCAGTTGAATGTGATGCTTTGATCACAAGAGAGATGGACAGTGGGAACTTAGCTCTTGGTTTCAGTCACCAGCAGGATGCCATCTCTTCCTGTACTTGGGCAGATGCCTGCCAGCTTTGGATTTGATCATATGCTGAGCCATTTTCACTGTGCTTTCACTGTTAATATAAGGGATGCACATTGTGGCTGGAGAAAAGTAGGGAGATGCAAAAATCCTCTGTGTGGGAAAACCTGGTGTCTGGCTCAGGTCACTCTCTTCCAGGGCTTTGAGAAATAGAGCCTCTGTGGAGTGGGCAAGGTGCCAGGGTTTTGCTGATGTTTCAAAACCCTGTGGACTTCATAAAGATGTAGTTGCTGAATAGGGGTGGTGCCTTCTTGAAATGTTTAATGACATGTGCTCTGTTTGCAAAATTCTCTAATGTTACATTACCAAGGATAATAAATTACACTTAATTTAGCATAAACAAAGAAGGTTATTTCTTATGTTCAAGATCAGGATTTTCTTCTCTGTAATGCATTGTGCAATAAGTTAATTGCAACAAGACTGTTTCTTATTCCTCCTCATGAAGCAAGGCACTGCTTGGAGGCAGAATACCAGACATGATAGACAGATGGACTAATTTGCTGTGTCTGTTTCTGTGTTTCTGCAATAGAAATGGCCTTTACATTTTAAAAGCTAAATGTTGATTATGACTGTTCAGGCAAAATTATATGAATGTGTAATTCTTTTTTTTTTTCTGTCCTGTCTTTAAATCTGAATTTGGACATGTGAGTGTCTCTGATGGATAACTGAATCAGCTGAACAGCTGGTAATATAAATGACTCTATATGTTTCAGCAAAAGTCTCCCACTTTCTTCAGCAGCTTAAGGGAAGAGAAGTATTTTTGCACCCTTTAAGATAACAAAGATAACAAATCAGTATTCCATGATCGGCTAGTTTAACAATGGTCAGCCATCTGTATTATGATAAATTCAGGGACAAGTATTTACCTTTATCCTTAAATAACTCTTGTTCCTCCTTTCAAGACACCTGTATTATGATAAATTCTGACAAGTATTTACTTTTATCCTTAAATAAGTCTGGTTTCTCCTTTCATGTTTTTTGGCACATGATGAATAAACCTTTAGGTATTTAGTGAACCTGAAAGTCACTATAAATTGTAGATAAGTCCAAGAGTTTCCACACAGAATGAAAGCAAATTACCAAGTTTGTGGGAATGGCATAATTTTCATAATTCAGTACAAAGAAAAGAATTTTAATTGTCCCGTATAGAGAATCATTATAGATGAATATAGAAATGAGTAGCCATACAAATGAGGTGATTTTAGGTCTTTTCACACTGAGTGTTTGATGGCAAATCTGCTTGAGTTTACGGATTTGTTCTAAGGGGGTGGGAGGAGTCCTGTCATTTGGAATTACTTGGCTGTATAGCAGAGCACATATGTATTGCAGGGCTGGTGGCTGAGAGCATCAGTGTTCCCAGCTGGATAACTGCTGGGTCTAACAGTTTTTGTACTGTGTGTCAGCTTAGATCTGACGTGGGGTGGGTAGGCAGGGGATATTAACCTGAAGGGTCTTACTGTCATCTCTGAACATGGTAAGGAGAATATTTTTTTTTTCTTTGCTCATGTTTGGCAGTTTTAAGACTATATTTTATTTTTAGATTAGCTTCTTTGAGGGAAGTTCCACTGCAATGCAGAGCAAATCCCCTTAAAGATACTTGCATTTGTGCGCTTATGGGGCCTGAGCTGCTCTTCATGGGCTGTTAGCTAAAGCCTCTGGCCTGCCAGGCTGTCCTGGTACTGGAGATGAAAGGGTGATCTGCAGCTGGAGCCAGCTTGCTTGAGATGGCATCATCCATGGGCTGCAGCTGGGAGCCTGAAGAAGCCCTGAATTGCTCAGGAGAGGCTGGTACTTCAGGGAGTGTTCTGCTTATGATGGTGCTTCCCTGGTCAGCCCTGCTGCCCCTTAGCTTGGCTGACTGGGCTTCTCCTGGAGAGGTGTTTGAGACTTGCATAATTTATTCTTAGCCTCAGGTATCTGGTAAACTAGAGTTAAATTATTCATATATCTTCATTAAATTATGTTTGAAACAGGAGCTGGCTTTTAAAATAAAAGCAGAGCCTTCAGTAGGTACGTTTTGGTCATGCTTCTGTGGTTTTGTTTGGGGCCGTTCAGTTGACAATTTGCTGTTTTATACCTTGGATATAAATTACTCAAATGCTTATTTGACATTTGCATATTAGAGAAGCCTGATTATTTAAAAAACATACAGAAATAGACAAACCAAAGTACCAAAATGTCGTGATAAACAGTCTCACAAGCATTCTCAGTTGGCTGAGTGCACAGTCAAGTGTGAGAGATCAAAAAGAGATGCTGTAAATCTTACTTGCTGTTTCTGCAGCATGTTGCTTTTTATTTTCTCTCACCTCATGTTTGCTCCTCTGTAATTGACTCAGAGGAGTGTAGTGGTGGGAGGGAAGGCTTTAGGAGTGTATTTTCTCTGCCTCTATGTTCTGGGCCAGCACTTGGGTGACTCTCAGGACTGTTGTTTTGATCTTGCAGATTAATGTTGCCCTTCTGAGAACAGCATGCATTACTGAGGGATAGATTCCCTATGGGTTATAGGAAGGATTTGTTTTTATGAAGAACCCTGTTCTCAAGTGCATAAGCATTTTTATTCTATACTTCATTAATAGCAAAAGATAATTTGTTTTGAAAGATGATTTTCTGGGCGTAAGGTAAGTCACTTCACTAGTACAGTGTTTTGAATCTATGTTTTGAGACTGAGTGTTCAGCTTTTGATTGGTCACTTGCTTTCACAGAGTTCATTAAATCAATATTGAATCTTAATACTACTTTTGTTTGAAAGTGAATATATGGTTTAGAAATGCCTCTTACTGATTTTTTTTCTTGTTTGTTTTTTTTTTTTTTGCAGTCTATGACATCTTGTTTTTAAAAAATAAATTTGGAAATGCAAATTTTATTAACTGACTTTCTGGTTCCAGGAAAAAGAATGGCAGTTTTTCTGCTTGCTTTCAATGAGGCTGTTCATTCATTTTGAACATACTGATTATTTACCAGTAATTTCAAGTACAATTATGTATGTTTCTCAGTGAAGCACCATTATCACTGTATCCTGATAAATATTTTAAAGCACTTTGTTTGACCTCTAGCCTTGAGCTGTGAAATTGCACCCCATTGACCCTAAAATATCTTTTATTTCAGAAAAACCAGTCTCCCCCAAATCAGGTACATTGAAGAGTCCACCTAAAGGCTTTGATACATCTGCAATTAACAAAAGTTATTACAATGTGGTGAGTGATCATTTTTTTTTCCATGTGAGCTGTTATGTACGGTAGAATGTCATTTAACTAAATGCTCTTATCTGCAAAAAAAACCCCACAGTCTTGCAGGAAGTACCAAAATTAGATAGGGGTATTGGTTGTTTCTCGTATAAACAAGATCATTATTCGTTTAATAAAATATCACATATGTGGATTCTTAAACATTGTACAAAAATTACAGTCTAAAGTAAGTGAATGATTGGCATTTATGTAATATTATGCTGGTGTTTTGCTAGTTGTTAATTTCCCTTTTTTCTCCCATCCCCTGCATGTGACATTAATATTCCCCAAGCTCCATGAATTACTGAAATTCTTCTGTGTTAAACTAATTAAGTATACTTTTGTCCTTTTTGTTCAATAAGAGACTGTTTCAAAATGTTCAATTTGCTTCCTTTGTATTGATGCTTGTAAATCAACTCTGTTGTTAACTTAAGGAACCTCTCCCTTATACTGGTGGATAGATTTCACAGTAAGGCAGTACAGGCAGAGTGAGCTTTTAGTACACCCTCAGGAATTCTTAACCTAGTACTCAGACCTCTCTTTAGTAGATGCATATAAGCAACATGCCCAACTCCATCTTTAAGCATGTTGTAACCCTGTTGAGAATAATTTATTTATTGAGTAGATACGTTGGCAAGCAAAAAAGCATCTTACTGTTTTTGTTAAGCACTGCTCCCTGCTGGTGTAAAACCAAACCACAACCTTTCTATCCCTCTTCTTCCAAGCAGCTGTCATGGGTTTTCATTTTATATGACAGTTTTTAAAAAGGATCATAAAGCATCATTTTCTGTTTTGTCTTGTGTGGTTGTGTCATAAATAGCACCTGGAGGAACAGAGGTGTTTTGTCTGTATTTCCTAATTGAAAGCTGTGAAGCAACCTCCTGCTCCTCCATCTGGTTCTGTTCCTGCCTCTGTCAGTAGCTGCAATTCTGTGGTGGAGGGAGGGCTGCAGGTCTTTGGCTACTGCATCCTGCAACTGCTGGTCACAATGGAAAGTATTCCTGCAGGCACACCCTTCCCTCAAACTGCAGGAAGTAAAGATCTTGCTGTGGTGTATCCAGTGACAAAATAGTGGCTTGATTGCATTCATTTTTGTTTTCACTGTATCTCTTTAGAGTGGTTTTTATTTTTAAGCTATTGTAGTGTGTGGATGCAAATTTGAGAGATGAAAGTGTACTTAAGTGAAAATAAGAGAAAGCAAATGTTGAATTTGTTCAGGCAGCTAAGTTATACCATACAATTTTGAAATATCACCTTTGGTTTGTGTGTTTTTTATAATTGTTCCCTGGATAGCCTTTTCTAATTGTGGATGCTCAAGCTACTATACCTGTGTAAGTACATCTGTGGCTGGCTTTTAAAGTAATTTAATAAAAAAACAAACAAAAAACCAAAAAACCCCAAAGCCTAGTAACCATGATATACCTACTCTTAAGATTAGTTTATTTTGTATCTTGCTCAGGTGCAACTTTCTTGGTACAATTAAAGTGATGTAATGAGATGCCAACTGTTTTGACTGCCAGTCACTTAATAACTGTCGATGACATCACAGGGGGTGAAAATGACCAGTCCATAATAATATACAATTATGTTGTAAATTACAGCACTGACCCTAGGGTGCTGGTCTTAAGTCTGTCTGCAATTAATTGAGTAATTGTCATTTTCACATTTTTCTACAGTGTGGCAAATACCCCTGCTTATTTTTTTAAGTCACCATTTTATTCTTCTGGTTTAGAAAATAAGAGACTGTGCTGTACCTTGCCCATTGTTTCAGAGAAGTAAGACTCTACTGCTGTGTCTGAAACCTAAATTAGACATGTTGATGTGTTTAGATTTTGTTGAAATACATTTTGTGCTTCAGATGGCAAAATATTTATAGAATATTTTCAGTTGTTATTAAATATGTATGAGTTTTACATGTTTTGCATGTAGATAAAGACAAACAGCAAATCCATTCACTGAAGTGAACTTCTGAGTTGAGTTTTTGTTCTGTCTTAATGCCTAAGCTGCAGACATGGGACTTCCCCGTGCTATGTGACATCCATCTGTACTGATAATAAAGTCAAGGAAAAAGCAGAAGATCTCTAAAAAAACTTTTGGCAACTGGTAGCTGAAAGGATGTAGCTCGAGTGAAGCTACATTTACTCAAATTTTGAAATCTGTGTTTAAGGCTCTCTTGGCCACTAAGCTTGAGTTGAGACTGCTCCTCTGGGACTATGTACTATTTTTGGGTTGTGGCTGTCCCCACATGTGGGTGTGCTGAGACTCTGTAGTCCTCACAGTTATTTATTGCTGTTTACCCTAGGGAGGGTTTTGTGCAGGCAGCACCTGAGGATACATTTGTTGGACTGAGTACAAAATCAAAGAGCTGTTCAGAAAGTGATAGGAGAGGCTCCCTTTCTGGGAGGAGGACTGGGATAGGCTAAGGGAAAATACCTAATGTAAAGGGGAGACTGCTTTCACCACTTTCCTCTGCTCTTCGACCCCTTGTAAACATGTTCCTTATTTCTGTGGATTCACAGCTCTGTCTGGAGTTTGTGAAACAAATCACATGCCTTCTAGTCTCAGTATGCTTAATTACTGCTCCTTGCACTACATGTTGCTGAGAAGACAGATACTGGTTATGTATGTACATTGGCCTGGCTCAGAAATTCAGATTAGTAGAGAATGCTGAGGTTTTGTCCTCCAGAAAATGGTACAAGTCTATAGTAGTATGTAATATGAACCAGACTTGTGATGAAGCATTTTTCATATAGAAATAATTTAGTAGCCTTACTGAAGAAATGGATGTATTGATGCATGTTATTCCCTGAAGACAGAGCAGGCGATACTGAGTTTTATTTTTGCTTCAGATCCCTTGAGAGGTTATAACTTTGTATCCAGAATAAAATCAGGTTCTCTCCATTTACAGTTGCTTCAAGATTAGGTAGCTGTTCTAAAAGCAGGTGAAGAAATGGGCAGATCTCTCCACAGTTATGAGTATTTGGATGACCTTGTTTTCTTTTAAGTGTTTGAGAAGTAGTAGAAAATAAACACTCCTTCTTGAGATCACACTTTTAAAGTTGGATCAAGGTGTCTACTGAAGTTCATACAAGTTATTGAGGCCCCTCAAGATACTTGTGCAGTGCCCCTCTCAAGGGCCTGTTTTAAGGAGTTCAGCAAATTCTCGTGATCTAGGAAAATTACATACTGATCACAATTTTGCTCAACTATGTGATATTTTGGTTAAGTGCCATACTACTGTGATAAAATGTCAGTGTGCTACAGGATCATGCCCAAGCGTATCCCTGAAGTCTGCCTTTTCTCCCACCGATTTGGAAGGCAGTCATCTTTGTGTAGGCAATTTTAAATCAGTTTTTTGGGTGGCAGGGAGAAGGCTGAGGTTTTGTGTGACAGAATTGTTAACCACGCTTGAATTCTGTATGCCATGTGATGGAGAGAGCTGGTGCTGTGTGAGCTCAGTTGTCTGTGCCTGCCATTCAGCAGTGTTACGGGCTGCACAGGCTGCCGCCTCGATGCTGCTCTTTCGGTGTCCGGGTGGATCTGTGCAAATGTTGTGGTGCAGTTGTGGAAACAAGGTCTTGGAGGTCTCATGGGGTCTTGCAGCAGCCAGAATGCGCAGAAAGCAGGAAAGGGAAGAAAGGTGATTATTAGATCATGCGGACGAGATGTGGATGTGAGGAATGTAAGGGATTTCTGGTTTCTAAATATGGAGTTGCAGTGATGACTGCTTGTCGCTTCAAAGCACAGTCTAATAATCCTCATAGCTTCACTGTGAGGTAGGTAAGTCAAGCTGGAAGAATGCAAGATATCACAGAAATCATGTTTTAGAGCTATGTAAGCAAGCTTATTTAAAAAATATAGTGAAAGTAAAAAAAAATGTTGTATACAGTGAAAACTGTACTTGTTAAAAAGGAAGGGTAATAGATTTAATATGTTCTGGGCACTGTTAAAACTGTGTATATCTCAAGTATTGTGTAACATTGTGAATTACTAGAATAAAAAGATGTGTAAGTGCGTCTGGTACTCTGCACAGGTTTTGTAGCATAGTTTTATTTAGTGGCATTGGTTTTCCTTTTTCCACTAATTGTCAGGTTACTAATTCTAGTTTTTAAGCTTTCTTGTTATTACCTCCCTCTGCCCTCTAATGCCATGTTCTCCATATGGAAAAGAAAATCCTCAAAGAAAAATCCAAACCAGCAAAAGGAAAATAATGAAGTGTGTACAACATGAAACTAGTTTTATTTCAAGCTTTTCAGACAGCTGTTTATCACACAGAATGCAAGTAGTCTTTGAGAAAATAGGATAGTGGTTCAGTATTTCAAGATCTTTAGCAAATTTGTTGATTTTTATCTTTCAGTGTCTTTTAATACTGTTTGGGTCTTCATCAGGACACTGTGGTTTTGTCCCTGGCTTTCAGTCTCCTTTTCCCTACTGATTTTTCCTGCCAGTGTAATGACTTTGGGCTGGGAGATTTTTGTGGTAAAAACCATATTGGTTTTGCACTTAGTTTTGAATCTTATGGATGCCACGTACTTTTATATTTGCATTTGAACAATTTGCTTTCTTTGTTTTATATATGTAAAAGAGAATATGGAGTTAGTGCTATGATTGACAGAGATATTTTATTTCCCTGGTGTAAATGGTCAAAAAACCCCCTTAACTTTTTTAAAATTTGTGTGCCCATATTGTACTTTATGCTGTAATTTCCCAGTTAGTAGCCATAACTTTCCCTGTGACATTCTTCTGTCACAGTGTTTAGCAGAGAATGGAGACATTTTAATCTTCAGTTCAAGATTCAGACTTGGAACAAAAGAATGGACTCAAAAATGGTTTCTCTCTCTCCCCAAATGAATAGAAGCATTCAAGGAATAAGCAGAATCAGTGACACCAATGAAAGGAACAGTGGATTCTTCATTGACGTACTGAACTATTTAAAGTTATTTCATCAGGTTTGCATTTAGGAATGAATGGCTTTTTTTATTTCCTAAGACAGAGTATTGACTACAACAGTGAATAATGCACTCAATTACAGTCGTTCCTATAAATGCTGAAATGAGATATTACTGTAGGCTTGACAAATATGGCATGTAACAAAATGAGGTTTGTGCTGTGCCTTGTGACCACTGACTAGCAGTCAGTTTTTGAAATTCAGCTCTGTTCACTAAACTCCATTTAATTCTGGTGATTCCCTTGCTGAATAACTTTTGGAGGCAAAAAAATAAATTGCCTTCTAAAAGCACAGTAGAACCTGGTATTGTTATATTGGAGGATATCCTAAAGCAAGCTTCCAAGAAATGGCCCAGTAAAATGTTTTCCTATACACATTTGGGGTTATTCTACTTGTTTGATTTATATTCAGCCAAAACTCAAGTGTGTGCTGTATTTTATAAATACCTGGCTTTGCATCAGTCTGTTGTAATTTTCTTATGGTAATGTACTCCTGGTGTAAGGTTGGGCAGCACTATTTAAACACTATGTAATAGTGCTAATTGTATTGGTAAGTGAAGTTGGAAATTACTTGATGTTTGTAAATCTGTTAATATTCAGGTGTTCTGTTCCATCAGGTTATTTAATGCATCTGAACACTCCACTAGCAACCTTAGTTGCAATGTGTTGTAATTGAGACTGAGAAACTGACCCTGTTCATTTCTCTTGCAACTTCTATTGTGCTTTACCATCCTCTGATGATCTGTGACTGTTCTGAAGTACATAGGGGGAATAATTATTCCTGGCTTTGGAAGAAAGCTCTGTGTAGCTGAAGTTTCGCAGTAAAATGTAATGATAATCCTGTAAGCTTACTGTTTATTATGTAGCTAAAGGATGGCTCATCTGGTGTTCTTCCCTGTGACTTTCATAGATGTATAGTATTCAATAGTTGCAGATATTTGCATTTTTAAAGTAGGAGCTCTCATTTAAGTTTTTCTCATGATAAATTTTAGGATGCTTTAAAACTGGTATTGATATATCTTAAAAAGTACTAATTAGCAATTGTCATTTATTGTAGGTGCTACAAAATATATTAGAAACAGAAAATGAATATGCTAAGGAGCTACAAACAATGCTTTCAAACTACCTGCGACCATTACAAGCCAGTGAAAAGTATGTGAGTTTGTCCTGTGTTTTAAACTGAGATCTCTCAAGTACTGGGGAGGGTTAACATGGTCAAAATGTTGATGTCAGTGTGAACTTGCCTCTGTGAATTCTGTGATTCTTGAGGCAGGGGTTGCTTTTATTCAGTTTGCTGACCGAAACAGTCTGATCCTTGATTTAAGAACCATTTTCTTTTAATGCAATAGTTTGTATTAATGCACAGTTAATCAATGGCTGCAAATGTAAACATGTTTTATTTGCTTTGGCTTCAGGTTAACCTTGACAAATACTTCATACTTAATGGGAAACCTGGAAGAAATAAGTTCTTTCCAGCAAATGCTTGTACAGTCTTTAGAAGAATGCACCAAGTAAGTATTATGCATACTAGATAGAGTAAATGATACCATGCAAATATATTCTATTTCTTTACTTGTTGCATATTTTGTTGAGCGTAGATTTTTTTTTCCCGTTTTACTTCAAGAGCTGTTGCCAGAGCAGCACAGTAATAGATGTTTGGAAAATGCATTGATTGTTTGTAGAGATACATGTTGCAATTGCAATAGGATGCAGTTGCAAAGATAGAAATTTTGATATAGTTTAAAAGAAGTTTTGGATTTTTGTAATGCAAATGCATACCAGTAGGAAAGTGGTGGTTTTGATTTTGGGGGCATGAATTTTAAATATTTTCTTCTAAGTAAGAGAAAGAAAGAATGGAGGAAACCTTATGTGATGGTGGAACAATGGAGAAGGAGGTAAGTGACTTGGATGAAGGACAGTGTATGAGAATGCTTGTACTTGGCATTCTTCTGGCCTGAGCAAAAGTGGTCATTAAAGTGTCCTGGGAGAGGTCTGCAGGATAGGCAGAAAGAACAATTAAATAAAACCCCTCAATGCTTGTCCTTCAATCTATAGGAAGCATGGAGCACAGAAAGGAGGGCATGAAGACACTAGTCCTCCTTCCATAATTTAGGCTGAAGTGGTAACTTGGAATTTTTCAGCTTGTTACCTCAGCACTTGAGTGTGTAAGAAAGAAGGTGACCATATTGCCTTTGGATTTTCTGTAACTCCACTGAAAGTGTAATTTACGTTCCTAACCACAGCTGTGTCATTTTCCTTGCCTATATTCTAGTTTTGTCTGACCACATGGTGAGCTAAGACGACTTCCTAATACAAATTTTCTTAGTTTCTGCCAAGTTAGTAATTTCAAGTGCTACTGAGGGCTTAACAAGTTTCAGTTTGTTGTGGGAACAAATTATTGTCTTGGATGGAGAAGAAAATACCTCTTTTGGCAACAGTAAGCTTTGGATTACCTCAGTATGTCTTGTTTTGACCTCTCCCCCCTCTCCCGGAGCGGCTCTGTGTGCAGAAGCAGCCTTGTCATGGCAAAGGATCAGCTGCATCTGCTCTAGGCAGTAGCATATGCCTGATACTGTTGCTGATTTCAGATCCCACGCCCTCCCACCACCTGCCTCTGTCCCTCTCTCCTGCCTCTAGGTAACTCAGACCAGGGACGGGGGAAGGGAGGATGGTGTGTACTCTTGGAGTAGTCTGTCTTTCATGCTGTGAGAAAGAAGGATTGTCATTCTGGCAAGTTTGACTAGATCAGTTAAATGTCTAAATCTCTGAAAGTGTCCATTTGTCAACATGCTCAAATGTTTCCTTTTGTTTCTTGTCTCCTTTGCTTGTTACCATGATTTTGCTTCTTTGTATCAGAAGTTAGGGAAATGAAATACTTTGCGTGGAACAGACTGTCATCTTTTAAAACTTTTTTTTTTAAGGTGGTCTTAAAAATGAGAGGAAAAGAGTATATACCTTTATATATATACCTTTAAACAAATATTAATGTAAACTTCATTTTGACCTGCAATGTAAGTTAATTTGATATCATAATGGAGCTTCAAGCTCAGAAAGCTTCATTAATAACTCTGCTTAGCTTAAACTGTTTTAAAGCACCTTTTCACAATGTCCTTTATTTCTTCTTTCTGCTGAGTGGAATGCTGCTGTATAATAAACTATAGGAACGTGCTGGATACTAGTAGGTGGGCAGAAAAAGTGATGCCCTAGAGTGACCAAAACGTTATTGCAAACATTTTGTCTTATTTTCATTTCATAAATATGCTTATCATGCTGAGTTGTATTTTCAGTTTAATTTTCATCATAACACATTAACTTGAGCATACAACATCCTCCTGTTTGGAATCTGATCCACTAATCCATCGTGATTCCCATTATGTAGAAGAATGCTTGCTCTGCTGCCTTCTTTTTTTTCTTGTCATTTTGCCATGTTTTTTTGGCTGGTGAACCTGTTCTGTAAACTCAGACTAGCTCCCAGGATGAAAATAGATTTATCATTTTATTTTATTTTTGGCAGAGAGCTTATAGTTCCATCATTGAGGTTCTTCATATTGCAGCATCCGGTGTGGTGTTTTATTCTAACTTGACATGTCAGAATGACCAAATACTGTCATCCCTCCAATTGTAATGCTGCCAGCCTACCTTGCTTAGCAAATTCCTGTCCTTGGGCATGAGAGTTAAATGTTTTTTGAATTCCACACCTACCCTGAGACAGTTTGTCATTTGAGTTTTCTCTTAAACAAATCCTGGCACGTACTTCAGTGGCAGAAACTTTCCTATGCTTTCCTATGCTTTCCCACTATGGCTTTCACCACTTCGGCTTGTTTAATCCTCATGGTGTTAATCATTGGGTTGTGGGTTTCTTTGAGAACATGTAATGCTATAGTGGGTTCTTTGTGTGTTTGGGGGAAATAGTTTAGATATGGTTTGGGTTTAGTTCTGTGCCACTCTCCCACCCTGCCCACAGCCTTGAAGATCTTCTGGTTCATTGCAAAAGGTTTGTCCTCTTTGAACTTGTCCAGGTTGGGGTTATTTCCACCTTTGTAACTTCTCTTCTTAATTTACCAAACATAGTGGTGCATGGAATAAATCTTAACTAGCATTGAGTGTGAATCTTCTAGCTGATAGGCTTCAAAGGTGCTTTTTTGGCTGATCAGCTTCCAATGCACTTGGTTCATGGATGGAAAAGAACTGTAACAGACAAGGCAGAGAGATGCTGTTGGAGCTTTCAGTTGTGAAAGAATAGATTTCTGACAGTGAAACGTAGCAAGAGTGCTCTGTGCTCTGGTCTCTTGAAGACGAAGAGTGGTCCAGTGCTCTAGGTCTCATTCCAGGGCTGTGGTCCTGTGCCAAAGATCAGTTCTGCAGTAGTTCACACAGCACAAGAGTCTCTGTGAACAAAGTCAGTGTCCATCAGGTGATCTCTGGCCTGATATGAATGATCTCTACTGGAAGTGTTACTCTATGGGTATTTTTGTAGCAGGAGAATGAACCTGATTTGATCTCCTCCTCCAGAACACAATCTTCCATTCATCTGGAAGTAGAAGCTGTCAGTCCATGTCTGTATTTCTCAGTAAGGAGGGGACACATGACACACAGGCTGGCTGGTGACACCAGCCTACATAGACTGCTAGATATGATCTCCTCTGTAGCAATTTGTAGTTTTTTATGTAGTATCACAGGTTTACATCCTTGCCCTGTAACAGCCGTAGCTGGGGTTTGTCCTGTCCTTCCCTCATGTCCCTGCTCTTGCAGTCACAGGAACTGTTGTCTTGTTCTCTGTTTAACTGCAAGCAGATCCATCATGTTTGGGGATGATCCTGAAGCGGAATGGAATTTAAAAGACCCCCAAGCAACAAAAACAGCCCCCTCTCTGTTTAGACTATTTAAATCTAGGCCAAAACTCACTAGTATTTCAGGTTTGGTTTTGGAGTGGAGATACAAATTAAGTCTGTTAAGTCCCAGTATCATCCTTTACTTTTGGTTATCATGAGTATCAACAGAAATAAGTCTGTCGATATTAAGGGAATTTGAATGCAGTGTCTTTAGATAGCTTGAGACAAACATGCATAGTAACTGATGTCTGAGACATAAGACAATTAGACAATTAGTGAGAAGTGTGGTAGTGAAGAGCATGACAATTAGACTGAAGGATTGTAAATAAGTTGAGTAGTGCCTAATTTGTGCAAGGAGTCTCTCAGAAAGTTGCAGTGGCCCCTTATTTCAGTGACCTTGTTAACTATGAAGTCTCAGGAGATAATGTTTAGTTTCTTCACAAACTGCAGCCTTTGGGGTTCAATTACACTTACTTCTTACTTCTTTCTTCAAATTGCCATGTACTGGGTGCCTGTTGTAAGTTTGGAGAAGCAGAACTGAACATCCAAAAGAGCAGCTGTTGGATGCAACTCCAACAAGCAGACAATGTAGTTTAGATGTAGTCACATGGGGATTACATGTGACAACAGCATGTGTACAACAGCAGAGGCTTTGTTATGGTTCCTTTACATTTGCAAATAGAATTAAAACACGTATCTGGCTTTCTTTCAATGGAAGTTGGTATAACTTAAATATATGTGTAAATATTTAGATGTGATTCCTTTTTAATTAAAGTGTTAAATATGATAATAATATTGGGATGTTAACTTCAGAGTATACTGTAAAATAACTATGGTCTTTATGGAGCACATTAATTACTAAAAGGTTTCTATGATGTCGTGGTAGGCATTAAATTGTTGATTTTTTTCAGCAGGTAAAAGAGATATAGATAGTTTATCTGCTGAAAATAGTAGAGCACTTGCAACTAAAATGCATGGATTAGAAAAGTCAAAGGGGATGAGTTACCACCCCCTTACAAAGTCTATTAATTATCTTAATTCAACAAAGAATGTACAGTATAAAGTGGCAGTGCATGTGCAACATGTGAAAGATAATAATGTAAGTCTTTGCTTCTGCTAAAAGAGCAGCAGACTGAGAAGACACAGATGTCTGCTTGGTGCAAACAGCCATAATTCACCCTCCACCCCCATCACTACAGGATGAAATAGGAATTTAACAATTTTTAGCAACTGTTTATTGGAGCCTCTTGCTATTTAATGCTGAGCTATATGCCTTGAGTATGTCTTCAGAGTTTGAGACTTTGGCTGCATCTATTACTTGAAGAATATATTATTAGCTCATGCTAGATTTATTAAAGGGGGCCAGCTGCTTGTCAGGAAATGCTGCTTGGCAAGGCTGTAAGAATAGCATTCCCTCAGTATGCTTGATTTTCCCCTAAACACCTGCAAAAGCAGCCACTCTATTGACTTCGGAATTTAAACTTCTTAAAAATAAAAGATTCGACTTAAAATACGAGCCCTAGCCTTTGATATAAGGAGTGTTGATATTGTGACTTGAGTGTGTCTGGTGTGATGTGTTAGCTGGGAATTCAGCCGTTGTTTTCTGGGTATCTGTAGCGAGTGTTGCTCTCAAATCAGGGAATATGTTTCCTCTGACCAGTCAATTTTTGCTTCATTTTGGGTAGTCTTCCCATACTGTGCAGAGGGACTGAACAACTTAATAGGAAACAGACTTGCTGTTTTGGAATTTGGGGGAGAATTTCTTGGGAATTTTGAATTTTGGCTGCTATGAGCAACCCTAAGGACTGGGACAAGATGACTGTGTTTGAGCAGAATGGGAACATCTGTCTGCAGGAGTGGTTGTCCTGGAAAGCTGAACAGTTTCTTTCCTACTGAAGTTCACTGGAACATCTCTCACTTTTTTCTAAAGGGGAAATACTTAATATTAATGTTTAGGAGCTTTATGTACATGTCTGGGACAACTACAGAAAATATGACTTCTGTAAAATTTCTTTTTCAGGGGAAAAAAAATATTCTTCCAGAAAGAATTGTTGGAACTAATCTTAGAATGAAGCTCTGTGTTAACAGTATGTGCATCAAGTACTCAGTGAGGGCTCCTTTAGCTTTATAGTTGATGTGAAGAGTGAAGTACTGGTTTTAAGAGTAGTTAAAAAGATTAACAACAATAATAAAATCCACTATCATGTGTTGCAAAGAAGGAAAAATTCAGCATATTTGTGTTAGGCAATGCAGCCTTTATGGAAGGAAAGCAAGTGCATGGGGAAATTGAAACATTTCATCTTGCACATGTTGTACAGTGGTTTAGACAAGGTGTCGGGAGTAAGTTTGTAATCTAGGACTGATGAAAGCTAGTGACCCATATTCTGGTTAACTTCAGTGGGGGTTATGCAATTGGCCATGCAGCCTTCTGTTGAAGAGGCTTAGCCCTTTGAGTGGGAGCTGCTCTGTAGAAAGAAGAGTTTCATCCCTTCTGTCACCCTTATGCTATTGCACAAATCTAAAACATGGTCCCCTACCAGCCACTGTGAAGAAAATTAACTCTACCCCAGCCAAACCCACCACACAATATACACTGCTTTTCTGGGCTTTAATTTATTTCTCTGTCTTGTTAGTAGTACAGTATTTTCATTTTTATTACTCTGTTTTTAGGTTGCCTGAAGCTCAGCAGAGGGTTGGAGGATGTTTTCTAAATTTGATGCCACAAATGAAAAGCTTATACCTTACATACTGTGCCAACCACCCATCAGCAGTAAATGTCCTCACAGAACACAGGTATGTTAACTTTGTGGTCTTCTGAGTCTGATACAAATACGCAAAATACACACCTGAGAAGTTACAAATATACACTTGAACTGTAAAGCTGTGATGTCTCTTTTGATGTTTGTTGTGGTAAAGCTTGTTTGAGAAGAAACAATACACTTTAAAAAAAAAGACTAAGTGCCCCATAAAACAAAGCTATTTCATGTGATCAGGATAGCTTGTCACTTTTGGCAGTGTATTATCAACTATTTGAGAGAATTTTTTCATTGAAAGAACACATGCTGGACCCTGAATAAGTAAAATAATTTTTACTGAGTGTCATTTTGTTTTAAAAATGTTGAGATAAAAACAAGTTTGTGAAATTATGGCAAAATTGACATGACTTAGGCTTCTTAGACAGTTGGGTACATTGTAACTTAGCCCTGCAAATGCATGTATATACTTAAGTTCAAAGTGTATTAAACCCTTAGCTTTACTTTTGAGTGGTATGAGAGAAGTGTGAGGTTTACAAAATTACTATTTTCTGTAAGAATTAAGATGCTTAGTTAACATGATGTGGGTTGCTCATTTTTTGGGCAGACATGAAATTTGTATGGAAAATGCCCTGTATCACCTTGAGGGAAAAGTACTATTTTTTAATTTGATTAAAATAGTCAGTTTTCACAAGCTTTTGCTATATACCTGTATTCTGATGACTCTCATGCTGAAGCAGCTGTTTGTTTGGGGCTGTTTATGCTTGCTTCTGGTGCAGGACAGAATCATGACTTATTCTTGAAGGACAAATTCTTACGGGATATATTGTTCTAGCTTCACACACCTGTCTTCTCTTTGTCTTGTTGTGTTGGACTAAAGTAAAGTTCTTTTGAATGCTCTTAACACTTAGAAGACCAAGAGGATCGTGATAGATTTTCTCCTATAGTGTTAGTTTCTTGCAGGAACTCAATTTTTGTTTTAGCAGCAACAGTTGTGGTATGTTTGTGAGCTTTACTCATAATGTTATGAAGACAAAAAACCTTCTAGTTACCAAATCCTCTGAACTTTCATATATGTTAATAATACATGTAACTATATTCCAACCCCAGCTGGAAAAATCAAGCTGCAAATTCACATTACAGTATAGGCAGAAAGAAGGTAAGTTTTTGTCATTAAAATTCAGCAAAACAAAAATATTTTTAAACCTTCTCCAGTGAAATCACTGTGTTTGCTTTCAAATTACCCCTTAGTATCATTTTCTGTAAATGGTTTTTAACACTCTTGGGATTAGATTTTTTTTTTTTTGTTTGAGTCTTTATGCTCTTTCCCAGAGGATTTAACCTGGGATTTAACCTATAGATGGAAGATGACATGTGACTGCGAAGTGATCATCTACATTTCTTTAGATTCAGGGATATCTGTAAAGGATTATCTCAGAACTCAGAGAAATGGTGATAGAAATGGGAGGGAGGAAAGCTCTTTTTTCAGCAAATGGAGAAGAGAAACATTTCTTCTTTCATATTTCTTTTTGTGGAAGATGTCCTAAGAAAAATTCAGCTTCAGGTCTTTCAGCTTGACATCAAATCCTGGTGGACACAATGTAAGTATGATAGAGAAGTTCAGTAGGGTTGTGGAAGTTTGTTTGTATTTAGATAGCTCAAGGGAAGAGAAGTTGAGATACACAGTTTTCTGTTTAATGCTATTGTATTATTAGGCATGAGTCAACAGAATTGCATCCTATTGTTTGTAATTAATCCCATATATTCTGTTACCTTAATTTTTGTTGTCGTCATTGCTGTAGGTAGCAAATAATCTACTAAATATTCTACTTGAGACAGCTGCCATGAAAAATCAGAAGGTGGCTTTAAGCAGCTCTGAATCTCTTCCTCTCAGAATGCTGGAAAACTTTTTAATTACATTGTTTCAAAGCAGAGGGAAAGAGAAATAGCAAACTGGTTGGAGGCATGAAGAAATGTAAAATATTCAGAACTGTCTCTTTGTTTAGGTGAAATTATTTTAGTGTGCAAAAAATCCCCTATAAACCTAAATTTAAAAATTGCCTTGAGGTTTGAGGACAGCCATGATTGTAACAATGGTGAAACAACTACACTGCTGTTTATACTGGGTAAAATACCAAGGTTTAAGGTTTTTAAGAAACGGCAACGTTAGTTGACTGTTTTGTCAGTACAATTTTACAAGAGGGTCCAAACCCATGTGTTTCAATACTAACAAAGAAATAAGTGTACGCAGAATACTTGGAGTTTAATATCATGTTTGTAGCATCTGTGCTATTCAGTAGCATTTCAGAAAAGAAGAGGGAACTGTCTGGAACAGTTTGATTTGGAACATAAGTTCTTACTTTCTACAGAAGGTTATTTCTTGCCATGAGCTCTGTGCAATTCACAAACTGAACACATATGCAATTACTATACCTCTGAAAGCCTTTTTATGAAAAAACCCTAGCAAATGTCAAATTCTTGTATCACAAAATTAGTATTTTCTTAGTTTATTAGGGTGCTCTTTTTTCTGGGAACCCATACCAACATAAAAAAAATCTCCTGATAGTTACTCTAGATTAAGATTTAAAATTTTATAAAATATACTACTTTTATTATTGGGTTTTTTTACTGTCACTGGCTAAAAAAAGCATTAAGGAAGTTGGCTAAAGCATTAACTGTATTCTTTTTTCAGAGCGATTGTATCACTTTAAAATTATAATTAATTTAAATAATTTAAAATTGTAAGAAATTGGTTTGGTAGTGGGGGTTTTTCATGTCATTTTTTCATCTCATTTTTTGAGTTATCAATGGTGGTCTTCGAGCAGTGTTGTAAGACCTGTTAAAATATTGTTGACACCTTGTAAATTCTGTGTATATGTATAAGTAAAACACGATATTAATGTGCTCAGAATTACTGTGCACTTCCAGAGAAAAACTTTCTTTGAATAGCAGTCTTGTGAAGTAGGTTCTAAATAGGGATGGGGTTGGAGATGTAAAAGGGGCATTCAATTGGAATGTGGCTGTCTTTATTTTCCTTTCTTTTAAATTCCATCCAGCATGAATGCAAATCTGTCTCCACTTTATCTTGTGTCATTTACTTCTTGATCATATACAGCAGCAACATGAGAGCTTTAATTCAGTTAATGCAGAATAATGGCTTGTGTGTGCATATAAGTTCATGTATGTGCATGTTTATGTAAATACAGAGTCTGTGCTGAAGGGTGTCAGTTATGTTATTTAAAGAATAAGACATTATCATGTTCAAATCTTCAAAGCCACAAGCATCTTTAATTTCATTAAGTTAAATTATTAATAATCAAACTATTAAAAGACTATTAGTGTCATTGGAGATCTGAGTGTATGTGAACATGAAGAAATAGGAATAAAGCCTAATGTAGCCCATACATGAGTTCAGGTTCCAGAGCTATGGGTTTCTGAAGATGTATTTGCCTCTGATAATCACAGCAACAACAAAATCTTTCTATTAAGTTTGGGAACAGATTATTTTCTTGGTTCCAGTTGTGGTTTAAGAAGTTTTATCCAGGTGTTAAAGTTTGTGTACAAAATAATTTCTCCTATTTTATACTGTCTTCAAATTTGGTAGATATTTTTTTGTCTCAGGAGTTGTTTTGGAACTATTACATACTTCTTTTCTGTAGTTTAAATTCCTTCTGCTTAATGAATCAAGGTTTTTGAAGGATTAAGCAATTTTTCCTCAGATCTGTCGTTGTATCTTGTAATTGAGTCTCAAGTCACCGGCTAAAGCAGAAGAGGTGGAGTTTACCAGGTACTGTTGGGTGGTGCTCTGGCAGAGCTCTGAGTTTTCCATGTTCCCTTCTCATAGTGGCTGTAGTGCAAGTGTACACCACCCCTATTGTATTTACTTTATTCCACAACAGTCCCAGCTTTTTGGCTCCATTCTATCAGGTTTAGTTTTGCTTGAAGATCCCAGTTCATGTCTAAGGGTAGGTATTCCAATATATGGTGTTATTTCAGGAGATAATTTTTCTTGCTGGTGAGACCAGTACTGCCTTGAGGGTGTAGAGTTTAGTCAAACTAGCACTGTTCCTGTGTGTGCTTCTGATCATAAACATATGATTGCCTTCCAGTAAGAGAAGTAACAGAACGAGTAATCAAAGGTGTGAAACAGTGAATGTCCTGCAGATTAAAATACCCAGCTGGACACAAAGTACAGAAATGGGTAATTGGAGCAGGATAAGGAGTGCCAGGAACATGAAATGCTACCTAGCTGGAAAAGATCACAAGCAACAAAGTTCAGTGCAATAAGAAAGTCTAGCAAAAAAAAAAAAAAAGAAAGAAAAAAAAAAAAGAAAAAGAGGCAGAAGCTAGGACTGGGACTTCCTATGGACTATATCCAAAAATGACAAGAGGAAAGATATTTAAGCAGAGGATTTACTGAAGGTTGGATAACATAATTTAAAAAAACAAGTGTAACAGGCCCCACTGATCAGTGGACACAAAATTCGTTTGAGGATATATGGACAGTACAGACCAATTTAACCAGCATCAGGTATGTAATTTTGGAGGGGTAGAATGGGATGTTAAACTTTTTTCCTTTGTTTATACAGCAGTATATTTATTTTAAAACAAACAGTAGAAAAATCTTTCCAGAAGAAAATTTAATTTGATGAAAAGGCAGATGAAAATTGCTAACACACACTTTTTTTTATTTTGCAAATTGGCAAATATTAAGCCAGTTCTCAGCAGCAAGAAAGCTATTCACAAATCTTTCCTTGTTGAAACATTAATTTTGCTAGATTCTTCTGTTCTCTGAGATAACATGTCCCAAACATATTCTACACTTGCATCACAGACATAGCAGTCAGGATAAAATTTGTGGACCTGGAACAGGACAATTACTCTGAGTAACTGAAGCATGGAATACAGATCAGCTTGAGTCAGAAAACTCTTTGTGCTTCCCCCACTTTGGTGGATCCCTGAGCCTGCAAGTGTGCAGGCTGATGTCATACGCTGAGCAGCAGTCCCCGGGAGAGGAGCTTGACTGGGAAGTTTAGCCCTAGGAAATTAAAAGCTGCAGCAGAGGGGTTGCTGAGCTAAGCTGTGTCACAACGCTCTCAACATGCGGTGCCTGTGTGCAGTCCTCAGACCCCTCAGCAGTGACAGCTCATGCTCCATCTATTACAAACAGACACCTCCTTCAGAAGAGTAAGTTGTGATTTTAAATGTTTACATTTTTAGTTCCCGGATCTGCTTTCCTCAAGTTTCAATGGCCTTTTCTTTTTATTCTTCTGTTACTTGTAGGCACATCTGAACTTTGTTTTCGTCCCTCCTCCAGTGTGATTTGCAGCTTTTGAGGCAGCTCTTCTGAGGAGGATTTGAATATATTAGTAGGACTTAAAGACACTTTTCATGGTGACCTTTAAAATATCTCAAGCTGTGAACCAACTTTAGTCTGGAGTGGGGAGAACTCTTCAGCTTGAGATTTCAGAATAAATGAAGCACAGCACTTTTGTATGCTTCTCTGCATTTTATTGTGTAAAGTGATGCAAGTAGTGAATTAAAATCTCATCTGCCTCTTTCTAAAAAGCTACTTCCTTAGGCAGTTGTGACTGAGTTGATGATTTCACTGTTCAAAAGATTTTCCTGTTCAGCTAAATGATAGCTTTTTATTAAAACATACTCTTAGCTGTGGGCTGAGGTTTAATTTAGCATATAATGCCTAGGAGACTGTGGTACTTGTAGGCATCAATTGAAATTGTGACATGAAAAAACATCTTTGGCAAAGCAGCTGACATGGACTTTTTTTATGTTGCAATTAAAAAAATGGTTGTGAGCTGTTGTCATGTTTGAACAGTATTTTAACCCACCCATATGTTTTTGAAAGTAAAAGTAAACCCCTTCCATTATGTCCTGTATGATATTTGTCTTTTGTGACTAAATGAAAGTCACTTGCTTTAAGCTTTGAGCTATAGTAACATCCAAATTTTGATGCATATTTTATCTCCACAAAGCTGCAGAGATGCCAGGTTAGTACAGCATGAGTGGAATGGTACAGAAGTCTGCATGATGGAACTGCTCAGACAAAATTTTGGGTACTATTGTATTAAAGGAGTGTGTGCCTGTATTCAGACTAGAGCTTGAATAAGCAGGCATGTCAAAACTTGTCACTGGGAAGCGCAGAAGTGTGTGAAAGAAAACATTGTCCTCTTGGGAATGTTGGGAGGAAAACTACGTCATTCAGTTTTAATTATACCTATTAACACTGCTCCCTGTTAAAGGCTTCATGATGATGCCATTGCTAAGCCTGTTTTTCAGGACTTTGTATATGTTTCAAGTGAGCTGAGGTTTAAACTTGCTTCATAGAGTCCTATATTGTGATTAAGTAAAAAAGGTGATAATCAACACCAGGTTTCACTTGAGCAGAGAGTGGCATAATCACTGAATGTGTTTAGTTAAAGGGATTGCAGAGTAGACAGTGAAAACAAGATAATACCAGCTTTTTATTTCAGGTTTCCAAGAAGTGAATTTTAATTCAAGCTAGAGTGAATTTTCCCCTGTTTTTTCACACATCTCTTTCATGATGCTGAAGTTGAAGAAATGGAACAATGATAATGAAAATAAGAAATGTGAATGTAGGTAAAACAGTAACCAAAGTTTCTCCTACAGTAAAAGCATTAAAAAAAAAGGCAGGGGGAATGCAGACAATGTCTGAGTGGATAGCTCAGCAAATACTATTTGTATAATGCATTTGTATGCACTTAGCAGTATGGAAATGGCTGAAGTAATTAGGAATAGGGGGTTGTCTAAGGGCAAAAATGAGGACTGATCAGAACAGTGTTAAAATGAGTAGCCTGTGGCATTTGAGAGTGGCATGTCCTGTGGAATATGCAGCTTTGTTAGGGGTGAGACAGTCTGTAATACACTTGTGGATTCTGCTGCCTGAAATGGGGAAGAGTAGTAGATGGTGTAAAAGGGCAGAGTTGGTAGAATGAGGCAGCAGGGGCTGTGTCTGACTGAAGCAAACAAAATGCAAAGAATGAGTTTAAACAGCTACTTCTCTTGGTTCTTGTAGGAAATGTCTTTAACATAAAGAAGATGAAGTATCAAGTACTGTGTGTAATCTGACTTTATGATGCTGAAATGGGTGGGGGTGAATACAGGTGCAATAAATGGTTAAAACAGAAAAGCAATGACTTGCACATGATCAGTGTCATACACATAGGGAAGTGAAATTTAAAACCATTGAGTTCTGTCTGGCAGAAGGGCTTTTCCAGGTGAACTTTGGTAAAGCTTCTGTGTAAATTGGTGTCATACCTTTATTACTTACTGGAAACACTTTTTTCCTTTAACTGAGTCAGGAGTGTGGAGGAGATGACACCACACTATAGCCATGCAGCCTGATGTTTCAGGGAATTACCCTGAATACTTGACCAGGAAGTAACTGGTAATGTGGTAAACCCAAGACACAGTTACAAGACAAAATCTGTAGTTTTTTTCAGGGTGCCACTGCAGTCAGCTGTCAAGTTCTGAAGTGGTGTGATTTTATGCTAAGCAAGGGCTGTGATTAAGGCATTAAGCAAAGTACATCTTCAGCTTCTAGGTATTGAGAGCTGGCCAGCTTTACTTAAATTTAAGATCAAAAAGTACTCTGGTTCGTCTGTGTTGCATTATTATAAACCTTCATGCAAGGTATTGTAGGAAGTTTTCAAGATGTTTTAATTTTGGCTAAAACTTGTTTATGTCGCTGATTTAGAAGGCCTGGAGTTGCTGATATTTCCTGCTTAATAGGGATGCAAGGTCTTTCCCGAGTGTGCCCAGCTCTTCTCTTTGCATCTTTAAAATGCACAGTAGATGTTGAGAAATCCCCTCACCCTCTTTCTCTACTCTGTACTTAAATGCAGCTGAAATGGCACAAATGCATACACTGAGGAGAGCCTGGGCCTTCTTAGAGTGGGGACAGAAAGCTCTTGAAAGAGGTGATGTATAATGATGATGGACCTGACAATTCAGAAACAGTGCTGGCTATACATAAACAAGGTGTAGCTTAAGTAAATTCCAATTAACTAATCCGAAGACAAGTAAACTTGGAGTAAACTGTATGGAAAAGTATCTTCTTTTCTGTGACCTGGGGGAAACTTTGGTATCTGGGAGGTGAATGATCCAAGTGGGATGGTGGGTAGAGCACTTAAACTGATTGGATAGGAAGGTCACAGCTCACAGAACTGTGGAATCATTTAGGTTGAAAAGAACTTCTAAAATAGAATCCAACTGTTAACCCAGCACTTCAAAGTCTACCACTAAACCACGCCTCTAAGCACTATGTTTGTGTTCTTGTTCTGTTGTATTCATCTATTTGGACAAATGACATGAATAATCAGTGTCTCTTGTTCTGCAATGAGAGGAGTGTGTGTGTGTGTGTGTCTTGAATGCAGTAAGATGTTACATTTTTAAGAAATGACTTTCTGTATTTTTTTACACAGATTTTTGCCTTTAGAATTCTGTGGGTTTTTGCAACTTGTATTTTATGAAACTTGGCAATCAGCCCAGATGCTGCTGTATCTTCCATTCTGAATGGAGAGGGCTCATTTTGTTCTTGGTGATTTAAACTCGTGAAAAGCTAGTCCTCCTCCACCATAGTCCTCTAAAATCTCTGCATTGTAAGCAGATGATGTTGCTATTTTGTTTTCTTGATAGCAAAGGGAGCTGAAATTCTCAGATCTGGTGTTTTAACTGAGTTGTTTAAAAAGTTGAGGGGCTGGGCCAGTTCTGCATTATTCAAATAACCAAAAAATATCTGGAGAGGGGAAGTAGCAATTAATGATACACGGAGAGAATGGATTTCTTACAGTGGCTTTGCTGTGAAAAGAAGTGTATTGTATAAGTCCACACTTAATGAAACCCTAGCTCATTAGAGAACAGACTGCATGGTGATTATTTCTACCATTTGTATGAATGTTGGTAACTTTTTTGCATTAACACCTTTGGATGTGAGATGAAGTCATTAAACATGTAAGTGCAAGAGAAAAAAAACTTCTAAAATATTCTGCCTTCTTATTAGTGCCTGTCACCATGAAAATACCTATTTTTTAATTGTATATGAAGCTTTTGACTCTTGCTTGTGTATTACTTGTGTAAACTACCTTTAAGGTCATATGTCATTTTACTAGAATAAAGAGCTGAGTAATAAAATACAGCTTTATTCTGTAATTGTTGCTTGAATGGTGCAACATTTAGGAACTGTCTTTGAACATTGGTTATATTCAAACACTGGTTATCTAGTATCTAGAAGAGTGGATTTGTTCCTATGTATGTTTTTCCCTGGTTGGGTCCCAAATCTGCACATGGCTTTGTTCCTGTATTTTGTTTAAAACTGGTCATAGCACTTAAGTCATACTTGAGTCAATTTTTTATTTGGCCTCCTGTTTTATTGGCATACTTCATTGCAGGTGAAAGATTGAATCATGAATCCAATGTAATTTATTTGTTTTGATAATGTAATCTTATTTTGCTTAAATATCTTGTGTATGCAGTGAGGAACTAGGAGAATTCATGGAGATGAAAGGTGCAAACAGCCCTGGGATCCTTGTACTGACCACAGGCCTCAGCAAACCTTTTATGCGTCTGGATAAATACCCCACGTTACTCAAAGAACTTGAAAGGCACATGGAGGTATATCTTATCAGCATTTATGTTCCAGCTTAATGATGATTTGACAACAATTATTTTAAAGGTACATGTCAAACATGATGGGACCCAAAATTGCATTTGTTTGCTCTTCGGGCAGCCTTCTAAAACTACAGGCTGCAGTGGTTTATGTACAAGTCAGTGCAGTAAAACTTCCTGTAAAAGATAAACATTTAAAGTAAAACTATTCAGAGAAGCTAATCATCATTCCTAGAATAGTCTTACCAGGGTCTTTAGTTGACTTGACATTGAATGTGTCTACTATACACTCCTTGAAGCCACTTTATCTTGCAGAGGGAGTGCTGCTTTTCACCTCAGTATGCCGAATACATTGGCAAAATAGTCCCTCTGACTTCTAGTGAGCACTGTCCAAAAGTGATCTTTACAGGACAAGGAGGTGTTTGAGGACCTATTCAAACCTTTGCATTTTATAGGTTATATGTTTGGAGTGGGAAAAAAAGAGATAAATAGAAAGTGTGTAGGTCTTGTCACACAGATTAGTTTGTCAGCCAGTGACCGCAGAACATGCTATATGCTAGATATGCTGTAGGAAATCACCTACTCTGTTAATACTTTCTTCTTGGGAATTCAAAGTCTCTTATCCACTAGGTCTTGTAAAATTTATTTGGGTCTATTTTAAGTATAACTAGGATTGTGCTAAATAACTGCTATTTTACTAAAGCCAGACCCACCAGTGTTTAATGTAAGGAAGACATGAAGAGACTAGATCAGTCTACAACTTCAATTTTACAGAATTGCTTATTTGGTTTTAGTTAAGCCTCTAACAATGTTTAAAATTAATTTTGCTGGAACTTAATGTTTTATGTATGTTTTCTCCTTTTTTTTAGGATTATCATCCGGATCGTCCAGATATTCAAAAATCCATGACTGCCTTCAAAAATCTTTCTGTAAGAGTGATAAAAGAATAGGTTATATATTTTAAGTAGAATTCTTTCTAATTACATCTTCCTCTAGTGCTTAAAAAAGTGAAGCTTTTTCATGAATGTGTAATAAATTTTTAAAAGCCTGGAAATCAATGCTGTACATAGGCAGAGATAAGGATGGTAATTTGCTGGGGAGTTGTAGTAAATGGACTATTGGTATAAGAGTTGTGCAAAGTATTCTGCACCTCTTTGTCTGCCCTCTCATCATACTTCATCTCCCTTTCTACTTGTGCTTGCATGGCAAGTGTCCTGAAGAAAGGATTCTTTACAACAAATGAGTGCACGTTCTGATTTTTCTCTGTGTGCATTCCTTCTCAGGGAATGGCGTTGGATTTAAGAGAAAAGTGCTAGTGAAGTTCAGAAGGTACAAAACTTCTAGTAATAATTGGAACAGGAAGCCTAATTTGAGCAGATAAGCTGTCTGCTACTGTCTTTATGAAAAAAAAAACAAAACCCAAACCAGAAAAAGTATGCCTCAGCAGCAACAAGCAATGATTAATGCAGTCGTGGCTACAAGAAAGTTAATGTGTTCTGTTTGCTTTTAGGAATGTATACTGATGATAATCTGGCATTTTTTAAATCAGAAATTTAGTGTTATCAGTGTTCAGAAGAGGTTTGTGGATTACATCCTGTTGGGTGTTATAAAAGCAAGCGGAAACAATTCTGTTGAGGAAAAATTCAAATAAACAGAAGTAGAACAGGTTGGAGTTACTTAATAAAAGTAAGAACACAAGGTTATAAATACTCAGGTTTGCAGAGGTGGCATATCTCTGCTTACTGAAAAAAGATGCTTTGTTGTATAGATATCTATTTCTGACAGCTGTGTTACTCTTTCTGCTGACCATGTCCATTTTTGCTTAGTCAAACCAAAATTTGAATCATAAAGGAAGGAGAAAATTGAGTAACAGAGCTATAACTGAATTTGGAATGGTAATTGAAGTCAATGTATTGAAAAGCCATAATATTTTAGTAAAACTAGTTTATAAAAAATATTGGCAGCAGTCATCTAAGTGAAAATGCTTCAAGTAAGGTTCTGTTTTCTGTATATTACAAGCACAGCAGCAGTAAATACAACTGTAGTGGTATTTTTACCCTTAAGCCATTTCAAATTAGTAGAGATTATAGAGATGTTGTTTTTCCCTATGTTTGTTAGGCACAATGTCAAGAAGTACGGAAACGGAAAGAACTTGAACTGCAAATCCTGACAGAAGCTATTCGTTGTTGGGAGGGAGAGGACATCAAAACACTTGGCAATGTGATTTACATGTCCCAAGTCATGATTCAGTGTGCTGGAAGTGAGGTAATGTCCTTCTCATCTTTACTGTCACTCCTCCAATTTTGAATAAAATTCATTATAATCATTATACAAAAGAAAGAAGGAGAGTGCTTCAGAGATAGTAAGCTAAAGTCTTTCTGTGTTGGTTTCAGGCATTTTTTACAAAACCTGAAATAAAATTCGTTGAAGGTGTATAGTCTCTTCTGTAAAACTTACTGAAAAGTGATTAAATACAACAGTTATAAATGTTGTACGATGATTTTTGCAGGGCTTTTTTCAGAGGGTGTAATTGAACAGGATTTTCTATGTGTTTTTATATTACAGGGTCATTGTGCATAGCAGTTATTACAGTGTGTTTTAAATAGCAAAAGGTTTAAAGTTTTATGTTGTAAGGTGTCTGAGACAAACTCTTTGGCTGTTATGGGCACATTGCTCAGGTAGTAAATTTTGAAATACAAGTTTGAGTACCAAATGCTCTTTGAGAAACAGAATAAGAAGATACATTAGAAAGTTACAAGTGACAAAGTGGGGTGATTTTTTTTTAACCAAAGAAGCAAATAAAACATAAAGAAAAACTTGTCCTACCAGAACTAATGTTAAAATAATCTGAAAAACAAGTGCTAACAGAAAGGCAATGTTGTACAGGTTGCTGACATGTTTTTATTGCTTGTTGTTCTCCTGAAAAATCAATGAGGCTTTGAATCTGATGAGGACTTCTGAATTGCAACCTCATTCAGTCCATTTCCTCCCTTAGAACAAAGAGATCCATAAAGTGTTTATGCAACTGAGTATTTAGAAGTTAGTCACTTGATATTTTTCTCTCAGATATTTTGTTAGGTGTTAAAAGTAAGTAAGATTCAGTAGAGCTGGTCGTGCATCTTCTGCAGTCATGTCTTTTTTGAAGCCAGCAAAACCAATCACCATCCCCCACTCTCATTATGAGGTAAAATGTCAAATGTAATGGATTTCTAGAAGTTTCTGTTTAGCACTGCAGCTTTTTGGCAAGATACAGGACAGCTTCATTTGTGCAACAGCAACTGGGTTTGGTTTTGTCTTTCTAAAAATGATATAAACATTTGCAAATGTTTACTTAAAAACATTAAAACCTGCTAAAGACTTGTAATTTTGCAAAGATGCTTGAAATAGGATGGTGGCTTTGTCCGTTGATACACTTACGTTGTCATTCAAATATTACACTTTAATGCTTCTCCCTTTTGTTGTCTATAGCAGTAGATTCAGAGTAAACTTATCCTCCTTCCTTAAAAATACCCCAAAACAAAACCACAATGGATGAAACCATACATGTAACCAGAAAATTTAAACCAGAACAAAGTATTGAGTGCTTTTGTTGTGACTATGCTAATTATTCCTTTGCTTTTCTACTTCTGGGCATAATCCAGTGTTTAAAAATCTGATCTCCAATTTGAGAGACCACAGTCTCGATATGACTGTAACAGTATCCATCTAAATTATAGGAAGAAATACATCCAGTATGTAATTTTTGTTTTACTGAAATTGACCACACAGTTGTTATCATATTAAGCAAGGTCAGTATGTCACCCAGACTGTAAAATTCCTGTTGTAAAATACAAGGCTGTAATCTTCTAGAAAAAGTATAGGCATGTGTTAGTAGCATTTTTCAAATAGAAAATTAGTAATTCTGTCTTCTTATTTCCTTTTTTTTATTTCCTTTTTTTTTTTAAAGTTTTCTAAATACAATGGAAAAATAGTTTTGCACTGAGCAAATATTTGTGGAGTAATCATCCAGTTAAAATGCTGATCGCTTTTAATAATACAAAAATGGGAGAGGGGACTTGTGATGGTGTATTTACTTTTTCATTTTCTTCTTCTAACAAGGAAAAGAATGAAAGATATCTTCTTCTCTTCCCTAACATTTTGCTAATGTTGTCTGCCAGCCCAAGAATGAGTGGGTTTATCTATCAGGTAAAGTAATATATTTACATATGTGTAAAAATGTGTTGGGGGTTGTGTTATTTCCAAATGATATTTCATAGGAAACTTCGTTTGATTATTAAACTTTTGCATTTATAAAGATAAAAGGTAATATCTTCAATAAGAAGTGGTCATCTGTCTTATGAAATTCTGGCCTAGAAGCCCAGGGTTTGATTTTCTTTGTAGCTGTGACTATCACCACGGAGACATTGGTTTTTTTACCTTGTTAGAGTAGCTGATGAGAGGAAGTATTGGTAGCTTTTTATGTTTGTGTAGGAAACCAGTGTTGCTGCGTAGGTTCGTTAGTGCTCTTTGACTGCTGCTCGAGACTTTGCAGGATTGCACAGCCCCCTTAAGCTTTCACTAGTGTGAATTAGGCTGTTGCCATCAGTTTGTTTAGATGCATCCACATTAGTGTTTTATCTTGGAATCAGTGGCACACTTTAAAAATGCATCTTTTAGTTTTTTCTGTTTAATGAGCGCTGAGTCAGAGTAGAAATTGTTTTGGGGCTCACAGACTAGATTCCATCTGGGTGAAATTGAAGTGGAAGACATGCTCCAAATGTACACTTGATATGCTCTAACTATGGGAAAAGATCAAGTGCATGGAGTGACAGTCACTGGCCCCAGCCTTGGGCTCCCCAGGGTAACACCACCTGGAATGCATACAAGGTGGCCCTGGGGACCTTAGGTGTTTGACTTCACAAATCCTCTACTCACAGCTGGAAGAGAGTCTTTGTGTTCTCTCCCAAGTTTCCTAGCTGAGTACTTGTGGCTGCTGTCCCACAGGCCTGTTCCAGAGGTGGAACAACTCCTGTAGTGCAGGGGTGCCGTTTGTCTTGGCTGCCCTGGAGCTCTGGCTGTGTTTCACAAAAGCACTTGCATCTTGAATATATAGTTTCAAAGACTCCTGAGAGAGGCAAATGTGCAATCCACGACTTCCAAAGTCTTGTAAATGTTCACGTAATGCCATGTGGGTTTGGGGCATCACAGTAAAATACCAAAAGGTGGGGAAAAACTGCAACAAAGTTCTAAAAGGAGACAGATTTCACCTACTAGAAATGCTTCTGTAAAACAGACAGTTGAACAGCTCATTCCTTTCTTCTGAGCAGTGATTTGCCTGCTTTAAAGGAATGCTGAAGGTTGATCATTCAGTGTTCCCATGTGATCAACCACAGTGAGTCACAAAAATGTGACTTCATTTTTTTTTTTTAATTAAGAGCAATTAAATTCCAAAATTTGTGTTTGGATTTGTACCTTACCTGCCACAATTGTAGACTGATTTGTCTGAAATGCTGCTGCATTAGGTGGTTCAACTAGACAGTCAAGTTTATTAACTTTGTGGCACTTCTAATTATCCCAGTGTTGATGGAAAAAGATAGTAGAAAAGGCAGGTTAGTTCTATGTTCCAAGTGGCACAGTCAGAATTTCTGATGGAGGTAGATTCTTCTCTACTGATTACAAAGCAGCTGACTGGAAATGTAGTATGTTAAGAAGCAACATGAAATTAAACAGTCTGTTTAAAAAGCTTTATTTTTCCTCTCCTTTCACTTGCATTTCTTCTTCTTTCCACCCACTTTATCCCCTACAGCATTATTCAATAAATAAATAAGCCATTTTTCTGTGATTTGTCTTCAGTTTCTACTCAGAGTGGCCACAGCCTTTTCTTGGTGTTCACTCTCCAGCCATCACTTGAAAGCAAAACTCTTAATTTCCTCACAACCTCATGTGTGATAGTCCCAGCACTGAGAATGTCCCAGATTTTAATGACTACATGTTCACAGCAAGGTGAAATTATTTCATCACTGTTTGTGTCTGAGATAGTTGATCAGAGCCCATGTTTAGAGTGCATAATGTGGGCCTCCTAGATGTTTTTTCTGAGGTTCACATTTCAGAACTGGGATGCATATGGGCAGAAGATGATGCAGTTCTCCCAGTCATTCTCAGGGAAATTATGCCATTGGGGGCATCATCCTGCATTTCTAAATAGCCCACTTGTTGTCAGGCTTCAGATTTTCTGGTTGATAGTGCTGATACCTACCACAGGAGCTAATGGGAAGAACTTCTAGCAGGGATAAGCTGAAGTCACAAGGAGCATACTTCTTAGGAGGGCTACACGATTGTTTGTTAAAAGAAGGGAAATATAAATTATTCACAAGTTCAGTTTTCTGTTTTGCTGACTTTGTTCTTTTTCTTGCCATGTGGTTCAGGTGATCTCTGTCTCCAGTGTACCCCTGTATTGCCTCCCCACCTGCGTCAGCAGTTCTTGCACATCTCTCTTGTTGTGGTTTTATGCTGTGTTATTCATGAACCAGCAAACACAGGAAAAAAGGGAAAAGAGCAAATTTTAGCTTCATTATGTGGTGCACATGGCCACCATGTTTCCTTCAGTGGGGAAGCTGCCACAAGAGAACTCCTTTCTCTTTGCTATCTTGGGCCTGAGCATGCTCTGTGCCTACAGAATACCAAGTGATTTTTCATTTTCAAGCTTCTAAGAAACCTTTGTCCATTCTGCTGTCTTTAGGAAAGAGGAAAACATAGAGTTTGTTTTTATTCTTTTTGCTGTGTTGGAGCCAAAATTCCACAGTACATAGTATTTGTGCTTTTGCCAGTATTTGCTGAATAGTGTTTCTGTGCAGGAGAATACAGGATGTCTTAAAGAACTTTTCTTGAAGTTTCATTTTCAGTAAAGCCTTTCATCCCACAAATACTCAATTTTATTTATTCTTCTGTGTTTCTAAAGGGTCAAAAAGTTATCCTAAATGGACTTTTTTTTTCCTGCTTGACTGAGTTTAAAATGGGATTTCCTGCAAAATTAGTATGTTCTTCTGAAGAAAACTTACAATTTTGAAGGTGTTCACTTCTTTTTTTTTCCGCTCAAAGTATTTCTGTGAGGGAATTTAGTAGAGGATTTATTAGAGAAATAAATCTAGTATTTATTAGTAAATATTAAGTAAAAACAAGCATTTGTTTAGTGAAATACTCCTTTATAAATTTATTTGTTCTACAGACCTTATTCTGGGAGCTAATAAGGCAGTTTGCAAACAAATGTGCTCAAAGAAGTCACTGTTGCCTCCAGTCATGTAATATGATCCTGAAGATCTCAGTTTCAAGAATCCAAGGCTGAGGCATGATTACTATTGTATTTGTATGGATTTTGTAGCCTGAATAGGTATCATCTAGATTTACTGACATGACAAATGTTATTTGCAGAAGTTGGACATATGAAAAACTCCCATTGTGACAAGTTTGTATGGATTTTTGAATGTTTTTAAACCCATTGGGGTGTATGTGTCAATTTACTGTGAATGTCTTTTTTAAGAGCTTAAAGTTAGTATTTTCTTTAAGTGGTAATGCTTTTATGTATTTTGTATTTAATGTTGATGTTTCCATCTTTTTTTAAGGGAAAACTGCCTATGACAGGAATGACTATTACAAAGCTAGAAGACAGTGAAAACCATAAAAATGCATTTGAAATATCAGGTATTGCCCATTAATATTTTTATTTACTAGTTATTCCAGGATACACTGTTTCAAACATCAAATGTTCATTCTGAAGAGAGGAAAAAATTTTTTCTATGGTGAGGGTGACCAAGCACTGGCACAGGGTGCCTGGAGAGATGGCTGTCCTTGGAGGTACTGGAAATCTTCTTGGCCATGATCCCAGGCAACCAGCTCCAGGTGTCTGTGCTTGAGCACTGGGGGGGTGGGACCTACAGAGGTCCCTTAGAGCCTCAGCCATCCTGTGGTTGTACAGACTTTATAACACAGCTACCCAGAGCCTCACTTGAAGGTTGTTTTTTACTGCTTCTCTTAAGCAGTTAAGGAGCTCTTTGCATGGGATTCATCCTGGAATTTCCGTATTTTAATGAATGGAAGCTGTGGCCTTGGAGAAGCCCTTTTGTGATGAAGCAGTTCCAAGTACACTATTTACTGGAAGAATAGGAATTTGAGAGGCTCTGGAAGAGCTTTGAGCAAGAGTTTTCTTCTAGAAATTTTCCACCTCTTTCTGAGAAAACGAGATTCTTCTTTAGCATCTCTGATGTTAATGATTATTGCCATTGTGCTTATAGGTAATTTCTATCTGTTTAGTCATTCATTTAATCATGTATGTCCTGAGACAATTTAAAGTACAGTGCAGGGTCCCCATGGTGGAGTTTTGTATCTTCATTAATTTCCTGGATCAGTTCTTCATACAAGCAGATTGCATTTAAAGAAACTAATTTTGACTGTCTCAAGTATGATATCAATGTTATGAGTCACAGGGGAAGAAAATTGTTTATATTGAGAAAAAAAATAGGTTTTTTCAGTAATAGCTATGAAGCTGACCTCAAGGGGAATGTGATGGGTTAAATGGTGTTAAGTGGTTATATGGTGCAAAAGTGAGTTTTCTTTGGTTGAGATTACATTCCCAAGTGACTTTTGCCTTAGCTTTCATTTTATGCCTTTTTCTGAGAGAAGACTGGTGAACTCTTATTTTATAACTTTTCCTGTGTTGTAGTATACAGACTCAAGAATGACATTCTGGGCTATGTGCTGGCTTTGCTGGGGAGGATGGAGAAGCATAAGGCTAGTAGATGAGCCTGTCTCCTACTCTTGTCATTTAAGGTTGTGCTTAATTAGAGATGGGGAAAGAAGAACAATACCTGTGCTAGACTAAGAATAAATACATGGAGGCCATGTGTATTACAACCTGGAAAAGTGGGATGCTGTTGTGCTGAAAATATGATTTAAATGTTTGCTTAGTATTGAGAGGACATAATGTTTTAGGAAATGTGTATTTTTAAATCATGTTAGATCAACTAAGCGGTTATTTTTTCGTTTCCTATGTCTTTCTGGTTTCTATCACCTAGGAAATATGATTGAAAGGATATTAGTATCTTGTAACAACCAACAAGATTTGCATGAATGGGTGGATCACCTGCAGAAGCAAACCAAAGTCACAACTGTTGGGAATCCCACCATTAAACCTCACTCTGTGCCATCTCACACGGTAAGAAATGAATGAGCAGAATTAGGTTCTAATTAGGTTGTCTAGCAAATATAACACCATGGAAAGACTGTTTTTTTAGCCATTAGTAACAAAAACTGAATTTTGTCACTGTAGTTTAATAAGTAAAAAGATCATTCTGTTTTTAATTGTGTGAACAAAGAATAAAATGCTTAAAACCTGGTGTAACAGTTAAATAGGGTGAAAAAAAGTTCATTATCATTACTTTTTCTGTTTTGACCAAGTGCATACCTCACCATTTTTCAAGTATACTTAGAACAATAGGTTGTAATTGGTGATACTTGACAGGCTGTGGAAAAACAGTAATTTCTTTTGGGTTCAGCATTTGAATTGTTGGATATGAATGGTTCTAAATTCAGCTCCACCCTTAGTGGTGAGAGAAGTGGGAGCAAGGCTGTTCTATCTTTAGTTTGTACTCTGTATGTGGTAGACAATAAAAAATTTAAGCTCCTTTTTTCAGAAAATAATTTAGTGTAAAATTTTTCGAAGGCCAGCTGTAATAAACAGAAATGCTATAGCAAGTGGATTATTTCACCAGTCCTTGAAGACACTATGTCTCCATTATGATAATATGCCTTCTTTCCTTTTCCATCATGTTTGACAGCTTCCTTCCCACCCAGTGACTCCCTCCAGCAAGCATTCAGACAGCAAGCCAATACCACTGACTCCTGCCTACCACACTCTCCCTCATCCCTCGCATCATGGGACTCCACATACCACAATCAACTGGGGACCGCTGGAACCTCCCAAGACGCCCAAGCCGTGGAGCCTGAGCTGCCTGCGGCCCGCGCCTCCCCTGCGCCCTTCGGCTGCTCTGTGCTATAAAGAGGTGAGCTGAGCGGCCAAGAAACAAGAGTGGGGCAGGCCTTCAGTAGGAAGCTGTAAATTTTTTATGGTGGCTGTGTGTATGTGACTTTCCTTTAATTTTGTAAATCTCGTAAACAACAGGGGAAAAGTGAGATTTGATCACAGTGCAATATTTGTATTGAAACTTAGCTGCTGTAAGAGATTCTTCCGTTTGGCGGTATCACTTTGGCTGTACTATATGCTTATTTTGTAATTTAACTTGAAATCCTTTTATACTTTCATGTGTAGGCCACTAAATTCTCCAATGTATTAAAATTTCAATAATCTTTATAGTGTTTAACATACAATAATGTCCAAAACCTATCTTGATCAACTTTGGTAGGTCCTGCTCAATCACCTTTTTACTTTCTTGTTCTGTATTTTCACAGAAGATGTATTGTATCCTTAAAGTGAAAGGTAGAGCAGTATCTTCCTTTTGTACTTGAAATGTAGTATTGTTCCTGTAAATTACTATGACCACATTTTGAGCAGAATTGCTGCTGGATTTGTTGTTTCTTTGTGGTTTTCATTTGTTTGTTGTGTTGGGTTTTGGTTTTATTTCCGGTAGACATCTGTAAAAACAGACCTAAACTTTCACAAATTTTGGCTTTGAAAGCTATAGTACCTGCCAAGCTTCCTTGTTAGGTCCTTTTTTATTTGCTTCCCACTAGACAAGTGAAATGGGTTGTCTCTTCAACTGTTCAGGAAAAAGACCTGTTAAGGTATTCCTGCCTCTTCTCTTCACTCTAGATCCCAAACAGGCTGGATGCCTTTGCAGCAGGTTTTATTCTCTTTATAGAACAGATAAAATACTTGGCTGTGTGTGTAGCTGGAGAAAGGGTAGAGAGGAAATCAGCCAATTCAAGTGAATTGAACATGGTAAAAAATACTAGTAAATTGAATTTTGGTGCCATTAAAAGTTTTTTAGTTAGTAATTCCTGTATGCATCTTAGAAGTTAAAATCTTGAAATGCTGTCTAGAAGCTTTACTTTTTATTTTTCCTATACAGGATCTCAGTAAAAGCCCTAAAACCATGAAAAAGCTGCTTCCCAAACGCAAGCCAGAGCGGAAGCCATCAGATGAAGAGTTTGCACTGAGAAAAAGTAAGAGAGACTTGAACAAATATCTGCATAATACAAAGGGTTGAATTAACATCAGTTTAAATTCTGTAAGAAGAGTTAGGTGTACAGTGTAAGCAAGTCACCTGGTTTCCTCTCTCATGTCAGGGCAGAGGGGTAGATATCTCCGGAGGATAATTTGTTATAGTCATCTTGTGCTATGATGGCATTTGTAGAGCTTTACTGATTGCTACAGTGAATATCTGCTTGTGAAGTGCCTATTTCTGTTTCACAGAAGGAAGAGAGGCTCACTAGAGAGCTAGGGGAAGTTCAGTGAGGTAAACCTGTCTTTTAGTACTGTAAACAACAAGGTGAAGATGCTGAACCACTCTTGCAGAATACTTTGTAGCTGTGTTCTTTACTTGATCTTGGTAGGAGCCTCTGTTGTCCTGAGTACTGGAAAGCTGGTTATTGCTGCTGATTTGAAGACAAGTTGCTTCCACAATCCTTCTAGGATTCTCTTATCTCTTGTAAATAAAGTAATTTGCTCATGTCTATATCTAAATAAATTGCGGATATTTAGGCTGCCTGAAGTCTGAAGAAAAACACTGATCTGATACAGTATACAGAAAGAGAGAGGTTAAAATCTGGATGTTGGGATAACTTGAAGTGGAGGGAGCATTAATGTTAATCAAGCAAACACAGTGTTCACTCACTTGTCAGTGTTGCTGTAATTCTTCCTTAGAAATGTGTGTCAATGAATAATCTGATTACTTGTGTCAATAAAAGACAGGGTGTTTTATTGGACAGATTTTTGCTATAGCTTTTGCTTCTCTGTGTCTGTCCTTTGATCGTGGGCTTTTTAAGATAGTCTGTGCCATGAGTGTTCAGTGCATGAAGTGTGTTATTGTGGCAGTTGTCTCTCACAGGCTTATATAGGATTGGAGAGAAAAAGCTTTTACTTAGGGTGCTCTTGGTTTGTCTGAGGTGTTAGTTCTTCTGAATGTTCTGTGAATTTCATATGGCAAAGGGTAAGGTAGTGAGTAGAATGGTTCTCTGTTCTTGGATGTGGAGGTGGATGTTGTAGTTCAGGATGTTTTGTCCTTACAGCAAGGCATCTGTTTAGGAGAATTGAAAGCAGTGTAATACAGTATCATTTCAGATGTCAGAGAATGCAGATTCAGTAGTTGTAATGATAATGATGAAGCTGTCAACTTGCAGGTTTAACAATTGTTAAAGAACACAATGGGAGAAGCTAAGGGTTTTTACTTGGGGGAAGGAAAGAGTCTGTAGCTTCCAAATGCATTGTTCTACTCCTGATTTGATAACTTTTATTTAAAAGTATTTTTTGGTAGCTTTTAGTCAAAGAGTGTTTCTTACAGGTTCTTGGTATTTATCTTCCCTAATCAGTAATTAGAAGCTTCTGTTAGTGTTCCTTCAACTTTCTCAACATTTTTTGTGGAGCTATAAAAGTTTCCCACTTCTATCGAACTTAAAGCATATTGATAGAGAGGTCTGTGTTTTGTTACTTCCCTTCTCAGGAATCCAGAGGATTTGTGAGCTATGTTTTGCGAACTGCTGTGTCAAATTAGCATTTCAACAGACAAAACAACTGAGATGTTTCAAGTGACTGCCTTCAAAATGCTATTTCAGAAGTAAATGCCTTGCTACTGTAATTATATGGTGCTGCATTCTAAATAACTACAAAATCCAATTATTTTTCCTGCCTTGAAAGAGGGATAACCCATACTTTGGAGTCCCTGCATCTCTTAAGCTGTAGGAAAATTATATTGGGTCAAGATAATTTCTGCAGTAGCTAGCATTTGTCCCAGCAAATGTTTGGAAAGTTGGCTTTGTTCTGGTGATAATAAATTACAAAACCCAACAGGATGCTTTGGCTGGCAGACAATACAACTTTATTTTGATGTTGAAGGCTGCTCAGATTCATGTAGGAGGACAATTTCAAACCTAGCTATTTCACAGGGGAAAGGAGGAAAAATGCTTTTAAAACAACAAATTTCCTTGCGTCCTTCCTTGCACAGAAACTTCTGCTTTAATCTCAACTAATAATGGTAGAGGTAGAGGTTCACTCTATTGTGAGTGAACAATTTGACACTATTTTTACTGAGTCACCCAATGAGATTTGCTGTGGAGCTTTACCTTTGGAAAATGTTGCCATGTTAAGCTTGAATAGTTAAATTTGTTCAGTAGTGCTGTTTCTGTGTTGAAGTCTGAGTAGTTTAGGGTAGTCACTTTTCACAGATCTAGGTACATGATAGCGGCATCTTCCCTTCTGCATGCTGGACTGAAATGATGCTGTTAATCCTGAGTGCTATTTTCAATTGTGTGCTGTTGAAAGGGGTGAATTTGATTTTATTTTTATATATATATATATATATATATATATATATATATATATATATACACACAAACACACATATATGTATTCACACAAATGCAAAAAAAGTTTTCAAGATGTTTTCTGTGAATTAGTATTCTGTTTCTTGATTATCTTTGATTAAATAATGGAATAGTATGCATATTGAATTGTGTGTTATTATATAATAACTTGAGTATATAGGGGTTTTCAGTAAAATTACTGCTTTAGAATGATTGTCCTCACACTTCAAAACACATTCTGTACAACATCAGATGCTCAGGAAATATCTTGACTGTGTGGGTGGTTACTCTGAATTGAATTATTTCTAAGCATTTCAAAATAGTATTTGTCTTTTTAAACTGTTACTTTTGTTCATTGAAGTTTTATTTTTAAAATGGTATGATTAAAATAATTTTAAAGGGTTGATTAGGCTGAACTTTGGACTCAACCAAACTGTACTGATTCACAAAGACTTTTCTATATTAAGAAACATGCCCATGGTTTAAAATTCTGTTTTTTCCCATTGATTCTAGGTACAGCTGCTTTAGAAGAAGATGCTCAAATTCTTAAAGTCATAGAAGCATATTGCACAAGTGCCAAAACACGTCAAACATTAAATTCAAGTAAGTTAGCCATTTCTACCCATTTCAGTGCTTTCTAACTAAAACACAAATAAGATTGTTTGCAAAAGAGAGTGCTGTATATTCTCAACTCTTTGCAAGTAGCAAGCTGGATCTGCAAATAATAATAACCTGTTTCTGGTTTAACATCAATGCCGGGTGTTTAAGTATTGGATGCCAAGGACCATGGTTAGAGATTATAATTTTTTCAGTATTTTGAAACAATCCAAAACAACAAAAACCCAAATGTAACGACTTGTCGTAGTTTAAAATTGTACTAAAGCTTTAACAATGACTAAGAGGTGTCTGAACTGAATATAACAGCTAATCAGTATGCTTTTAGATAAATTTCAAGAAGCTGGTAAGTAGGAGGAATGAAGAAGTCATTGTAATTTTGGAGGACTGTATTTTTGTTGTGTTCTGTTCAACAAAGACTTTGTCCATGGAAAAGTAACCTAGACCTATAAAATTTATTTAATTTTATTGCCACTAGTTGTTTTTAGTATTAATTACAAATTTGAATCCCGTCTCATAATTTCAGGAGAAATTGTTCTCAGATGTGTGTTGCCTAAAGCCATTTTTAGTTTCTCAGATCAATACCTAGCATATTGAAAACCTGTAACGTGCCTCTGGGGTCCTACTTCATTTAATCCAAATCAAGGTTGCCATGTGGAGTTCCTCTGTATTGTAAGTAAAACATTGCTCAAAGCAGGGGAGTCCACCAGCATGTGTTCCATTTACACAAGGAAGGAGAAAATGCTGTTGCGTTTGTTCCTTTTTGCACTGTTGAATACAAATTTAATTTGGAGATCCTTGGAACACAGTATAATGAATTTGAAGTACTTGGCTGGTTTTGCTGGAACTAGAAGACTGGACATCATAACTTCTTGTCCACTAAAGCTATTTAAATTTTGCAATATTAATCACTCCTACTGCTGCCTATAGTGCTCTAGGCCTGTTTTGCTTCCAAGTTGAAATCTTAAAACACAGTTGCAGACTTAGTTCTTGAATTTTCCTAATTCCTAATGTTTATATGCTATTGCCACCTTGAAAAAAACACAGCTACTTTGTATTCCTATGTAACTTATAATGGGAATACGGCAGCTATATTAGACTGCAAAAACTTCTCAAGTAACAACAAAAGTCTTAATTTTAATTTTTGTCTTAACAAACCGTAGATTTCCAAGATCATTAAATCAACTACTACTCTTTTTTTATTAATACTAATATTTTTATAATCCTACAGTCATTAAAGTAGTGTGTTTGATTGGATAAAGGGAATTAATGAGTTCAAAGTTCTGAAGATATACTGTTGTTCCAAACAAAATCAAATTAGATGATTGCCATCTAAACACCTCAACTGTGATCTGTTATTTCCGAGGATAATGTGACAAGAAATGGTTGGGAAAACATTTGCACTTGCACAGTAGTGTGTGTGTGCAGATATGAAGTGGATATTGGTTTTTTTGCTTGCCTATTTTTCCTGTCTATGTATATTTAAGAAATATACATAGTGCTGTGGGTATCATTGCATACATCAGAAGTCAGCAGCTTTTATTTGCTCTTAATTGCAGCAAGAAACAATTTTTTTATTGATTAGACACACAGCTGCTTTGTTTGGAAAGTGTAGTGTTGTCACGTAAGGCTACGTTTCAGAAGGTCCATTTGTAAACTGGAAAGAACCAATAAAGTTGTAATTGCTTCTGTTGGAGCAGTAGTCAGTGTAGAATAATAGAATGAGAGAGTTGTCTGCCATCTGTTGAAGTATGCTGGTTTTTTACGTACTCCATTCCTACCTCCCAGTTGTTATTCTGCCCGTCCCTCACAGCACTCACTGGGCAATTCCCTTACTGCACCCTTACTGCTTTTGGCAGTGTCAGTACAGCAGAGCTGTGGCACCAGTGCAAACTGCTCAAGTGTGGTATTAGAGGTAGCAGAGCAGCTTTTTATCAGTTGTTTGGGTGGGAAAAAGTGGGATTTAATTTGTGTAGGTAGTTGGAAATGAAAGAGCAGAGTCTAACTTTCTTGTGCTTTTTGAACACTGAGCTTATTTTGCATTCCTGCTTCAAAGGAAGACTTAAAATCCTCTACGATATCATGTGTATGGTGGCTCATAACATGGCCACTTACATGGCTTCAATCCTTGGATATTGTCAGGCCTTGAAAAATTAAAGAACTGTCCTTACTATGTTTGAACAATGACCCTAGAGATCTCAAAGTATTTAGCTGGGGGGGGGTGGACTCAGAGGTGTGTGAGGGGTCAGAATGGGCTAGGCTGTGTCACTGTTAGGCTCTTGTCCATGTTTTTCTGAGAGTTAATTTGACACATGGTTTAACAAATATCGAGGGGTATGGGCACAGAAAAAAAAATGTACTTTGACAGTCTCCTTCAATGGGTGCAAGATGTTGCTGCTGATTTAGTAATCAGCAGCCCTGCTCTGCATGACAACCTTTGCTTTTCTTTTTCCCCCTTCATTTTCCTCTTCACAGTGGTGACACAAGCACTTCTGTTGGCTGTGTTGTGAGCTGGTGGGAAAATTACCTGCTTGAAAAAACTAACCTTAAAAAAGATTTTTTCATCTGAAGCTGTTTCCTGACCTGGCTCATGAAGCAGCTGTACAAAAGACTGTGTCATTGCAAGGGAGGGAAAGGATGAGGTACAGATGTGTGATGGGGAAGGGGCTGTTGCTTTTCACATTGGTGCTGGATCATGCTGGCTTACTGTGTTTGTTTTCTGCTCTGTGCCCAGTCAAATCCTCCCCAGACCAGAACTGACTCTGTATTTCAAAATAACTTGACTTCCTCTTCAAAAAATCCTACTTTCAAACAATATTTTGTTACTCAAAATTCTCAACTGAGACTGCCTAGAAACTTAAAAACCACTTCAAAATTGTATTGTAACCGTTCAAACATTATGTGCTGAGTGAATTTATACCTAAACCCCAAACAAATTTGAAAAAAAAAAAAAAAAAAGAAAAACCCAACTTTGGTGCCTTTTTAACAATATTTTCTCTTTTCCTTCTCTTCCCATCACCTTTTTGCTTTTATTTCATGTGTTTGGTTGTGGCTATTCCTTACGTTCTCCTCCTCATCCCACCTCTGCCTATCCACATCCACCATTTCATTTCACCTATACATCCTTAGCATGGCAAGGCACTGACCTGATGCATAATCACGTCTTGGCTGATGATGACCAATCAAGTCTAGACTCCTTGGGTCGTCGCAGTAGTCTTTCTCGTTTGGAGCCTTCAGACCTCTCAGAAGACTCTGACTATGACAGTATATGGACAGCCCATAGTTACAGAATGGGGTCTACATCTCGTAAGAGCTGTTGCTCATATATCTCTCACCAGAACTAATGCACTTCTGAGCTTTTTCTTAACAAATGCTTGTTGTATCACAGCCTGCTTTTCTTAGATGTTTTCTTGCTGTTCCTTGTCTCTTTAATGTGATATTTTAACAACTTTTGAGGGAGCTCCTGAAACTTCAGTTATACCTGGTGGAAGGCTCTATTGTCAATTCAGTACGCATACCAATAAGTCATTCTAAAAAGTGTATATCCTGTTAAGGATGATACTTCTTGAGAGTTTTTTAACTGACAGATGTTAATTTGTAGCTCTGAATGGTCTTTTTTTTTCTTTTGACTTGGTCAGTGTAGTAACAGGTCCTTTATTTTTTTTTTTTTTAGTTTTATTTTTTTTTTTTTTAGTTTTGGATAAGCACATTTTTATATTTTGTACTGAAGCCATACTGGGTTGAGAGCTGAGTGCCAGCTATATGGAAATACCTTAGTGGTAGTGGTTGGATTTCCTACATATTATTAACAAAATGCATAGCTGGTAGAGTAAGTGAAATGCAGCTTTAAAATAAGCAGTAAAAGAGCTGTAAAATCATTCACATATTCACGTATCTGGCCTATTTGTTTGGAAGAGCATTTGCTAATCCATAAAAATTTCTGGTTTTATACTGCTGTCTTTTGCTCATTGCTTAAAATGTTTATATGAAGGACCTCGCTGCTCTTTCCCCACCCCAGTCCAGCAATTGTCATGAAAACCTGGCAGTCCATGCTCATTACATGCAGTGTTTTGGTACTCTCATGTTACCTGTGGTCATACTGTCACTTTACTGTGTGCAGTAGTGTGGCAGAAAGCAGGGTTTAGATGTTTACTTGCCTGTTAAAATACACAACTGTCAACTCTCAATTGACCATTCTTCTTGAAAAGACGAGAGGAAAATGATTCATTCCCCTGATGGAGGCTCCAGTGTTCAGCATCTGAAACTCTAGGTACAACTGTGATCAAATTGGCTTGTTTGAAGTTATGAATAATAGAATGCTTGGCTTTTGGGTTGTACTGTTTGGAGCATGTCTGTGACAGATTTTATTGTGTCTTGTAACTTCTCTCATAAGCAGGTTTGTTTTCAGCAGCAGCTCTTCACTTACAGTCATGTTGGCTTTTTCAGAGAACTGTGACATGCTGTGCACAGCTGAAGGTCTCAAACTTGCATCTGGGGCACTGCTGGGGTGAACTGTGTGTGTGTGTTCTGTCTTGTTGCTAAAGTAATTGGCATCAAAACAAAACTGGCATGTTTTCCAAATCTTTGTAAGCATTAGGGAAAAGTGTGGTGAAAGTGATAGAAGGTCAGAAACAGTTCTCAGTTTTGCCGGGGTTCCCAAGTGCAACACCCTCATCACTTTTCACGTAAGCGTGTTATCCAGTGTTCAGATACTACTCTGTGAACAAGTTCAGAGTAACCAGGATGAAATTTAACTGCAGCCTGGGAACTTGATCACACTGTTTAAAAGGTAATCAATACCTTTCTGCAGGTTACATGATCAGAAGGTTGCAATTGCTAGAAATGCATGATTCCAGAAGGTGGTCAGTGTGGAGAAGGTGTTTTAAGGCAGTTCATGTCTTCAATTTACATTCAGTCTTGTTTGATCCCCTGCTTTATCCTCTCTCACTGTTGTTGGTATTCTATAATGTGACTAACAAAAGTAGTAGTGGTTACCAAGGAGGGTTTTCAGGGGTACATTTTACTGCTGGTCATACATTAATGTAGTGACCAGGAGCTTGTGTATGTTGAACCTTTTGCAAATGGAGGAGTCTTGCTTAGAGAAATGAGATAAGTATATGTGCTCCATATCATTTCACAGCACATTTGTAACCCACTTCACTCCCTCCTTCTTTTCAGTCAGTTTTTGTTTTGTTTTTTTAACATATATGGAAAGTATGGATTGTTTTTTGCTCTGTTTCTTATGATGTGGTGTTTTAGTTGAATAATGTTTTCTGCACTGGATAAATGGTAATTCCTTTATGTCTGTTTCATGTTATATAGTGTAACTATGAGTTTGTAATACAGTTGTTGCACTTGAACTTTCCTTATCTCACAGAAAGACTTGTTATCCAGATCTGAAGGTTTTGACTTTTTAAGCACCAAAGCTTTGACAGTTTACCACCTTTAATTATTGTAGCATTTATGTCATTAGGTACTATCATAATTAGGATCTCTCATATTGTGTATTCTCATATTAACATCACAGCACATTTAAAACCATTCTACGTCTTCAATGTTACAGGCTGTAAACTATTGTGAACTGATCAGGAGTATTGATGCAAAATGCCTGAAACAAAAAAAGGACAAATGTGGAAATGATGGTATTCAGTCCAAAGGTTCAGTGTTTCTATTTTTGTGAAACTTAAGTCATGGTAATAACAGTACCTTATGTTTATGCAATTCTGTAAATTGTATGTGTACAGTTACAAAATACACTGGAAGGATGAAGAACCTCAATTGGAAGGTAGGTTCAAGCCATTGCCAGGCCCTCTTCTCATGGCTTATGCAGTGTTTCCATATAAATTAGTACTTACCATAAGCTGAAGCCAACCAATATTGATTGGGTGTTTTGCATAATCTTGCCAAAACACAGTACTGTGTATATAGTGACGTAAAACATAGAAAGAGTAATATATATTGTGCACTTCATTTGTGAATGGGAGAAGCCATCTTTAGTAGGTGACTGCCTTTGGAAAATGCAAAATGGATGTATATCTGAATGTTTCATTGTACTGTACAGTATGCCTATTGTTTGTGGTTGCATATATCAATTAAGTGTTTTGTTTTATATGAAAAGGACATCTGTTATGTACAGTTGAAATAAATTTTGCATTTGCTAGACTGTGACTTTAATATTTAATTATTAAACAGGGGGAAAGGACAGCAGAACTTAACACATCCTCTTCTCCCTATGCCTCCTTTCTCTTCCTCCCTTCTTCCCAGAGCGATCAAATGCTGACATGAAAGACCTATTTTGACATAAGTGTGTGATCTTTATTTAATGTAGTTGACATCTACAGGAAATTCAATGTAATGGGAAGTAGGTATTCTTCTATATCCTCTTTTTTGTAAAAATAATTTCAGAGACATTGCCATGTATAGATTGTTTTTCTGTCACCTTCCTCTCCTGTTAAATTTATGTTATTTTCTTCCTTTTAGTTTTTTTGGGGTTTTTTTGTTGTTTGTTTTGATTTTTTTGTTGTGGGGTTTTTGTTGTTTTTTTTTGTTGCTGGGTTTTTTTAGGGTTTTTTTGTTGGTATATTCTCAGTAGAAGCATGGGCTGAATTATTGGAACAATCTAAAACCTACTTTTGTAGGTCCTATTGCCAGAAAGAAATTTTATTAATATACTAAGGGTTTATATAACCTTATGTGTTTTCATGATGTAATATTACAACATTTTTCTTTTGAAAGCAAGAGTTCTTTAGTGTTTCTACGTAAAAGATGCTTACATATGAGTGAATTTACATCAGTAAGCTAATATATGTGCTAAAACGTTTACATCAGATTATCAACCCCCCTCTATTAAAAGGTAATAACTTTGTTTTGCTATAATTGTAGCAGCTCTAGTGCTACAGCCATGTGCTTGGAAGTTTTTGTATTGGTTAGCAAAATACAGGCAGTTTAGTGGAGTAGCTCTTTCCATATGTTGTCTTAGAAATCTCCCATGTCTTCAGATGCTGTATTTGTCTTCTCAAACTCTTCATTCTGTTCTTACATGACTAACACATATGAAGTTATATTTTGGTCCACTTTAATTGTTTCCATTTTACTCATCTAAGCATATTGCTGTAAACTGCCTAAATCAGTCATCTGAGTCATGTGGGGTTTTATTCCTGTTTATCATTCTCCATTAGTTAAAAAAAAAAGGCAAAACTTCATGCCCAAACCTTTTTTTTTTTTAATTCCCAAGAATTTGCAAACAATGGTGTATCTTAACAGTGAACTAAAATTTAGCTGATATCTGGCTTCTCATTTGTGCTTTCTGTACAAAGATAGTAAAGGATACCCTTTTGATTTTGACAGATCTGTAGCACAGATTTTTCCAGTTTTTAAATCCCAACAACACATACAGAGTCCGGGAACAGCATTTTTAGATTTTTTGTATTAGGACCTTATGAAAAATTTATTAAGAGAAGGTTAATTTGGCAGGTCTTCTCATCTGCTTTAACATATTTAATATAACAAATGCAGTGACACTAAATATTTAAAATTACACATAATTTTTTTTTCTCTAACATTTACTTCACTAGGGAATGTACATATCTGTACGTGCCAGTGGGTTAATGGTGGATCTAAACAGTTGTGTATACACAAACTTGCTTTTCAGTTGCAAGTCACACTCCTGTCATTGAAACTCAAGTAAATTTAATTCTGGGAGCTTCTTAGCTTGTAAAGGTGGTGAAAAACAGAATTGTATGTTTACAAGTCCTGTTTCAAACTTTTGCTCTTTATTGCTACCTTGTTCCCCTCTTTACCTCTCCTAATCACAGTAAAGGTATGAAGAAGTGAAGAAAACAGCAATACTTAAAAACTGTGCAACAGAGCCTTTGCTCATGGCCTCAGATAATGCTGTGCACTTCTTGAAATTGCCACCATCCCCACACATCTGACTTCCATACCTTAAATTGGGACACTCATAGTCCTCTATGACTATAAGCCTTCTCCCTTTTGCCAGCTGGAGGAAGCTGTTCTTGGTTGACTGGGGAGAGCTGTCTTTTCACTGATGCCCTGAAATTAGCTACTTTAAGCAGATGATATGAATACCCACCTCCATTTTACTCTTGGCTTCAGTGGTTCCTGGATAGACAAGGTCTTTGGATGTAGGCAGAGACTTAATGTCCAGTTAAAGTGGAAAGGTTTCTGAATTTCATCCCCCTTTTCTTTCTTCCCTTCTGCAAAACTTCTGAACTGCCTTCATATTTTTCTGCTAAATGATTCAAAACAATGGACTAGGCTATTTACCAGTACAGCTCTTTCTGAAGCCTGGCTTCTGTCAGGAGCCAGGATGGTGCCATATACAAATAGCATGGTGCCCAGAGAAATTGTGAACACCCCATCCCTGGGAGCGCTCAAGGCCTGTTTGGACAGGTCTTTTAGCAGCCTGGTCTAGGGGAAGGTGTCTTTGCCCATGGCAGGGGGGTTGACAACCATTCTGGAAGATGTCATGCTCCTTTTGGGGAAGAGTGAATGAAAGGCTGAGGTCTTGAGTGAGGATTGCAAGCAGACATCAGTGAGAACCTCTGTGACATTCAGTCTCTGCTGTAGTCTCTTCCTTGGTTGGTGCTAAGACCATACTCCAGGGCTAGGAGTGACACTACCTGTTTTAGGCAGGTATAAAATGAACTTTTGTTATGAAGTCATTCAACCATGCAAATACCCAAACAGGTTCCAGCTTTCCTTATTTCTAGAAATGCTCAGAACTGCTTGCTTGTTTTAGACTGATTGATTTAGCTGGAAAGGGAATCAGACCCTGAAAACCAAAAGCAGGGGGCTGTTCCTCTCAAGCCTATTCTTGTATGTCAGGTGTTCTACCACATTATGTGCTATTGCTAAGGCCTGTAGCCCTGCTCTGAATATCAGGTGGGCTGTGTTGTTACTGGCTTTACTCTGGAGGCTTAATTTGCTAAACCTATAATTTAGGGTATGGTTTTGTCAAAAAGCATTATTATTCTTTATGCTCCACTCTAAGGCTGAGAGGTATTGATATTGAATACATACCTTTATTTTTTTCATGGAATTTAATTTATGGAAACTTAATTGAATCTTATTGTAGTGGTCAATTGTTTGCCTTAATTACTCAACAGACTTCTAAACTGTGGGGTCATTTTTCCAAGACCCTCATTTTGAGAGTTCCCTGTTGAGAAGTGATGGCAACTTATTTGGCCTTAATATTTATTTGTTAATCTTGAATTAACTGTCAAACATATTTTCTCCTCCTATCTACCTTGCTTCCCTCAATACACACCCCCTCCAAAAAAAACCCCAAACTAAATGAAACCCTGTTTTGTGTAGCGTGGGGTGCAGGGTGTCCATCTTGGAAAAAAAAAACAAAACCAAAAAAACCCCCAAAAAAACAACAACAAAAAAACACTCCCCAAAAAAACACACAAAAAAACCCCAAACCCCCAAACTAAACAAAAAAAACCAACAAATCCCCAAATGAAAAACCCCTACTAACTAACTGACTAGTACTTGTGGTTATGTTGTCTCAAGGTGAATTGGGCAGTCGTTTGAGGTCAATTTAAATATACTCATTTGACCTTTTTGACTTTGAATTGTGTCTTGTAATAAAATTCAGTGTGAAACTTGGATGCTTAGGATTGAGGAATAACAGATATAGCAAACTAAAGTAACTTAATTCTTCCACCCTATTTCATGAAAATGTGGAGTATGTCTCAAAGGTCTTTAGGATTATCTGAGTTGTATGAACTTCCTAGACTGCACAATCTTTCAGTAGTAATTCAGTGGGAAGTGCCCACTGTACTGTAACAGAACCCTCTCTTCATGCCCTAAATCTGTAGCTTTTGCAGAGGGAAACAGTTGCACAGGGGGTAGGCCTAAAGGGCTTGATGAAGGCACAAGGTGGAATTTAGGGGATATTGCTGAGTGCCAGTGAAGTTACTGAAGCTACTTCCAGATGTGTAACTGCAAAAAAAGAAAAAAAAAATCTTAAAAGGATAGCTGCTGGCATAAATGGTGCAGAAAAGGATTTTGAAATAGCTTTCTTTTGCCTCTAGAACTTGACACCTCATGTCTGATGTTACTGTGCATGCACTCATTTGATGACCGGATCCTTTGTGGTAGGATAGATGTACTGAGTGTTTGTACCTTTGATACTCAGTGTGTGCTTGTGGGGTTTAGGAAAAAAAAAATCTACTATAAAGAGAAACCCTCCAAAACTCAAAAAACCCAAACCATGATCAAGGAGAAAGTGTGGGGGTTTTTACATAAGTACAAACCATAAGAGCTGCAAGAATTCTGACATGCAAATAAGGGTTTGTATGACCAAGGGTATTGGAGCAGTGAAGGCAAGAGTGGAACTTGTGTTCCACAGTAGTTACTGTCCTGTGGCTCAGGAAGGTCAGTGTTCACAGCAGCAGTGTTCCATTGTGTGTGTTTGTGTAGTGTCAGGTCTCCTTGTGTGTATAATGTTCAAGTGCTTTGTGTGTCTGTGCAGGGTTGTGTGCTGTGCTCTGCTGTACATTCAACAGGATGTGCTGCTGCAGGCATCTGCTTCACATGCATGTGTGTGTAACTGAACAGCTGGGACACTTGTTGTCCAGCTGTCTGCTCCATGCTATTTGTGCTTTGCAAGAGCCGTGTTACCCTGCCCAGGCTGACAGTTGGATGCAGCTCTGTACAAAGTGAAAAACGTGTGCTCCATTTGGGTGGAGGGAGTAGTGGGTGAGAAATGTGTGGCAGTTCTCTCCCCTTGGTCAGTGTCTCTCTTGGCCTGTGCTGGGCTGAGGTGGCTCCACATCACTACAGAGACCCAAAATGCAGTGATCTGGTAGCAACTGCTGCCAGCTAATTCCTAATCCAGCATTTAATTCAGTTCTATGTTAGCTGCCAGGCTAAAGCAGAGCAGTAAGCAATTAGCTGAAAAAAACTTAAGAGAGCTTTTTACAGAGACTGACAGCACAAACAGGGAAGTGTCCTTGAGCTCCCTACAGAATTTGGATGTGTTTGCTTTATAGGTTGTTGCTCCTGGAAAATAAGTGGAAATGTATTAACTCTTAAAAGATTTCTTCGCTCCATAAGAACTTACTGCTTTCGAGGACAAGATTCTTTCTCAAATCTGCTGTTCTCTTTAGTCTATATAGTATTGACAATCACATGCTCATATGTTAGATCTTTACTGTAAGATTAAGGAAGCTTTTTTCTGCATTAAAGACATTTGTCATTGTTTGCTAAAATAATTTAAATAGCTAAACGTGTACAGCTAAGATAGGATCCTTACAAGCTCGCTGTTCAGAACTCAAGACTGCAGCTGTCTGGGAAGCTAGTATTTTGTAATGAGTGTGATTTATTCAACATTTTTATTTATTTGTTTATATTTTGTATTTTACCATGATCCATAAAAGAAAAGTGCTGCTAGCCGAAAGCAGCTGTTCAGCAACTAATTTCTCTGGACAAGCATGTGCTCTGTAGTACCAAGTTATCAGTTTGAACAGTATGAGACTTGAGAAATTCCTGGTTAATGAAAGTTCACTACAGTGAATTGATGACAAGTGTACCTTGTTTGTTAAAACCGATGTCTTAGTTAAAAAATGTAAGAACTTCAGTGCTTTATCTGCAGTGTTTGAATTCTGAACAAATGCTTAGATACCAGTTTATTTACAGACCTTTTTTTTTTTAAAAAAAACCTTGTAATTTGTTGCAGCTGAATTAAATAATGTTTATAGAATTATGATGAATGCACATTTCTGACTTGTAGCTTTTCTGGTCAGAACTATGTTTTTATAATCTATGCATTTTATCTCGATGTTATAAATTGTACTGTTCTGAAGATGTTGGTATGTTTTGAGTTTTTATCACCAAACCATGAAGTGTTTTTTAAAACATCTATTAAATACAAAGAGAGTGTGTCATTTGCTAGGAATGCATTGTAGGACTAAAAGGCTATCTGTAGGAGTATTTGCATGTATATGTGTGCACACACAAAGTGGGGTGCTTACCGTGTTTCAGGGAAAAGGGTTTTTACTTATTTTTCTTTAATTGCTGTGTCATTTGATAGCACTATTCTGCTCCTTACTGACAGAGTAATGGGTTTAGAGCAGAATTATATCTTGGATTTGTATCAGTGTGGGATCAGAATCTGTCCCTGATGCTTAAATCACTGTTACTTAAATACAGCTATGTCTTTCTCAGTCTGCTGTGGGGAACCTGCACAGCTTTTACTGATGGTTGAATAGTGCACTGTTCCTTGAACAGTGTAACATCCCTGTCAGTGACTCTGCAGTTATGTCACCAGTGGGGTAGGGGTGTCAGACAACCTTTTGTTGTTGTAAGGCTGTGGTTTCAAAAGTAAAAAAGTGTCAGTAACTCATGTGTAGAGGAAAGGGGGAAATGGAAAGTGTATACCTTGGTCATGGGGGTGTATCATGCGGTGATGAAAGAATAATCTTTAAAATGCCACAGTGGAATTTGTGAGTTGCTCATTTTGTGATTTATTTTTACAACAGGTTCCCGTAAAGAATCAGCTCCTCAAGTCCTGCTTCCAGAGGAAGAAAAAATTATTGTAGAAGAAACTAAAAGTAATGGTCAGACTGTTATAGAAGAGAAGTAAGAAAATGTTTAATGAATGATTAATTTAAGTAGTAAACTTTGCACTCTTCCTCCTCCTGTCTCCCATTATAGTAGAGTGTGTCTGGTATGTTTGTAGTTGGAATAGAGCTGTTTGGAGTATGCTCCCAGTCCTCTAAATGCAGTTGGCCTTCATTTAAATGTCTGGTTTCTTTGTATATGCTGTGCAACCTATTCCACCCATGTCAAAAAGTGATGTGCTTCACTTGCGAATAATTTTTCCAAGTGCTGTCAAATTTCAGTATTAAATTGGTGTCATCCTTCTAGTTAGCATGTAGCATCATACTACTTTTTTGATTAAGTGTATGTTGGAAATGAAACTACAGTTCTGCTGTAGAAAGATGTAATACAGAAACCAGCAGAGGTCCATAAGTGCTTGAGAGGTGTTTCTTGTCACAGAAGCTGGCAACAAGTCCCTTGCCTTACTGAATATAAATCGGGATTAGAAACAGATTTTTTTAAACACAGGTTTGAAATTAGCTATTAGGTGTGGGGTGTTTTTTATTTAATTGCATTTAATTAAACATTTTTGTCTAATAATAGATTTAGATGTGTCTTTCTGAAAGCTGTTGTAACATGATCTTTTTTTTTTTTCATTTTAGAAGCCTTGTTGACACAGTATATGCATTAAAGGATGAAGTGCAGGAGTTAAGACAGGTTGGTAACTTGCTACATTTATAGCAACATGGAGAAAGAAAAGATGGAAGGTTTGTTGTAAAATTAAATATGGCTTGCAAGTTCACTTTGACAGTCAGGAGCTTGAATTTTGGACTAGATTTACTTTTAAAAGTAAAATATCATTTGCCAAAAAAACACTCCCTGTTGTTGTCATAAATCTTTTCAGAATAGCATTGAGGATTGTTTCTCTGAAGTGAATTACTAAGCTGTTGTGGATGTTGCAGCTTCCGAAATGGTGGAAGTGTTAAGCAAATTCAGTTGTGCTGTATCACTAGCAAAGTAATCTTGCAGGGATTGAGAAATCTTGAGTTGCTCAAGAATGCTAATAAAGGCCTAAATAGAACTAGATATTTATAGTTCTAAAATGATACAATTGTAAAGTAATCTGAACACCTCTATGGCTCAGTTCTTAAAACTGCTCATTTCCAGAGACGAGTCCTTTTCAGTGCCTATCACATGGCTTTTTTTTAAAATGAGGGCTTCACAATAGCTCTGGGTGCTTTTTTGTCACTTGTTCTAAATATCCACCATGATTAAATAAAAATATCACTTTTTCAGGACTTATCTTGTTTTAACCATGTTAATGGTGCTGCATATAGTCTTTGCTTATTGTATAGGTGAAAGGAAGCATTGGATTTTCCTCACTATGTAAGGTGTGAAGTTGCTTACCAGTCTGACTCCAGAAGTTGGATAAAATTTCTTGTGTTAATGTGAAAAGGATTTGTATTAAGATTTCTTCAGGTCTGGGGCTATAAATGTGATTTTTTTTCTTTCCATCTGTAGCCGTGCCTAGTATTTGTAAGGATGTCATGCATATTCCTTGAAATAGGACAGTTGATGTGTTGCATACTTAAATTCTGCTGGGTTCAGCATATAAAGAATGAGTATCCCAAGTTAGAGCTGAATTTGGCAGTCTTTTAAAAAAGAAAACTCATATAATAAAAGCAGCAATAATAGCCCACTAATACTCCTGTGGTCTCCTGCTTTTGTACAAATAATAAATGTGCAACCTCACTGAGGCTCTGCACAGCTCCATAATTCTGATTTCATTTTCTTACGTAGCAGGAATTCAGGAATCTCATCTTGGAAGCATTTATTGGTCCACTTATGTGATGCTGCCAACCAGAGAAGGGGCAGAAATAATCTCTGAGCTGGCAAGGGCTTTTTGGATAAGGGCTCTCTGGGAGTACATGGTGTCCTGGTTGGTGTAGACGCCAGACTGCAAAGTGGAATCCTTCCTATAGCAGCTTCCTTCAGTTATTCATAGCTGTTGTTCCACAGACAATACACCTGAACTGGTCCTGAATCGGCAGAGTTAACTTAAATCTGTTTCTATATAAAATAATGAACTTTCCAAGTTTCTTAACAGACTTGAGGAGGGAATGGAGTTAATGAGGTGACAGACCATGGCTGTGTGTATAGACTAGAGAACAAGAAGCTGCAGAGCAGTGCCATGGAAAGGTCCCTGGGGGTCCTGGTCAATGGCAAGTTGAACATGAGCCAGCAGTGCCCTGGCAGCCAGGAAGGCCAACCCTGTCCTGGGGGGCATCAGGCACAGCATGGCCAGCTGGGCAAGGGAGGGGATTGTCCTGCTCTGCTCCGAGCTGGGGCAGCCTCACCTCCAGTGCTGGGGGCTGTTTTGGGCGCCACAATATATAAAAGATATTGGAGAGTGGCCATGAGGATGGCGAAGAGCCTTGAGAGGCTGAGGTCACCTGGTTTGTTCAGCCTGGAGAAGAGGAGGCTGAGGGGAGACCCCATTGTGGTCTACAACTTTCTTGTGAGGGGAATAAGAGAAGCAGGTACCAATCTCTTCTGGTGACCAGTGTCAGGACTTGAGGAAACGGCATGAAACTGAGTCAGGGGAGGTTCAGATATTAGGAAAAGGTTTTTCACCTAGGGGGTAACTGGTTGCTGGAACAGGCTCTCCAGGGAGCTCAGAACCCTAGGTCACAGCACCAAGCCTGTCTGAATTCAGGAAGCGTTTGGACAATGCTTTCAGGCACATGGTGTGATTCTTGGCATGTCCTATGCAAGGCCAGGAGATGGACTTAATGATTTTGGTGAGTGCCTTCCAACTCAACTCATATTCTATGATTTTATGATCCCATCCTTTTTCTAAAATGTCTGTAAAGGACAGGTAATGGGAGTCCAGTTGGACCCTGGGATTGAAGGCCAGTGTTTATTAAACACCATTAGACTGGTCTTGGGGCCTTATTTCAATGTTATTTTACCTTCTGGTTGCTTCCCTACTGTTGCTAGACTTACCTTGACCTGCACAGGATTCAATAGTGTAAGCATTCCTGTGGATTGGTGCCTGTCATCTTTATGGTCTTGTTGTTCATTTATTTCAATGTTACCTGATAGCACTAAACAGTGAGAACTCACTTGTTAATATATACATGGAGAGATGGTGTTCCTTGAAATTCAGACTTCTCTTAGACTGCTGGTAGTCATCAGTCTAGTTTAAAATTTAGTCACAAGACACTTTTCAGAGAACATATTGATTTTCAGGATACTCCTTTTAACTATTTGCATTCCTAATGAAGCAAGTTGATTTGCATTAAGTTTTAAGAAGCTTTTTGGAGATTGAAACCAGTTAAAATTACAGGAGGTTCTTACAGGGGATATTTAGTCTGCTTACTGCTCCATTTCTCTTCTCCATTAGCAACAAATATACTCTACTCCTCATTGATCAGTTTTGAGCAGAAGAATTCAAGATTAGTGGCCATCTGTTACTAGCACTTGCTGTATAAAGGCCTCCTAAGTACAAACAGGAAGTAGCTCAGTTTCCATTTGGTAGCTTTTGTTGCATTGTGTGAAATAACTGTGTGTTACTTGTGAAGTTAATAAAAGCTTTGCTTTTGAACAGCTAATATTGGTTTTACTGGGAAGAGCCTTCAGAGTTTGCAATTGATGGCGTATGTGTAGTAAGATCTCTTAAAAGCCCCCAAAACCAACCAGTAATATCTCTGTCTCTGTTAAACAGGATAACAAAAAGATGAAGAAATCATTAGAAGAGGAGCAAAGAGCTCGCAAGGACTTGGAGAAGCTTGTTAGAAAAGTTTTAAAGAATATGAATGATCCATCTTGGGATGAAACCAACTTATAACCACTTTTTCTTTTCCCCTTCTTCTTTCTATTGAAAGACCAGTTGTAGAACTGAGCTGGGAAGCCTTCTGACATTAGTCAGTGTTGCATCAAGAGCACTGTAAAACAGGATTTAACTGGATCTAGTGATTTCTTACTCTGAACATACAGAAAGAGTCAAGCCATTTCCTGCAGCAATCTGTACTTTAAGGATGGAGACTGTGGATCCTGAACTCTACTAAACTTAATTTGTTTGCATCCAAATTACCTCATTTTGCAGAAAGTGCAGCACCTGACTAAAAGTCCATGTTTTTCAGTGGCTTTTTAATTAAATATATATTTTTCATGTAAATAGCTGTAATTTAGAATGCATATGTGATTGATGTATCAGGGCTGATATGTTGGGGTTTTTTCTTATATTATTATAATGATCACAAGTGTTAGAACTTATGGCAGTACTGTCTTACCTAAGAAAGGTCAGAGTTCTTTGTGGATAATTATGAATTAGTTCCAAATTACCCACTCACCACACATGCAAATTTAAACCCCTATTTTTCCTATTTACCACTATATTTAAATCCTTTACTGTTACCTGTTACTTTAAACACTTTACAGTTCCTTAAGAACAGTATTAAAATACAGGAAATTGTTTATTGACAGTAGAAACAATTTTTAACAAACCTAATGCCCACAATTTACGTTCACCCACATACTTGTTTGGCAGACTAATCTATTGTGCTTTGGCCACCAAAAGACTGATGTACTTGCCTGCTTTTTATGACTGTGATTTTTAGGTGTTTATGTACTACATTTTCTATTGTTGTGCTTAAACATACAGCTGGCTGATAACAGATCATGCAGTTCATTACAGGAAAAAATCCAGAATTTTGTGAATAAATTGTTGCTATTTATATTTTATGGTCACAGCAATTAAATTTTAGCTAACCTTTGTGCATAAGACACATGGGCTAGGCCAGACTTCATTCAGAGCTTTGTTTCTATACCACTATATAAGACTCTCTGTTTGGAGTTCCCATACTGTGGAAGCAGTCATTCCTTTCCCACCCTTTTTTCTTTGCATGTTGCCGATTTCTGTCCTACTAGGATTTAAATGGAAACAAATGTGGAAATAAGTTTTTTTTAATCGTACTGTAACTCGTAATTTGCACTGCTGACAGATTTTAAAATACATAAAGGAACATTAATTCCCTAGTCTGATAGGTGCAATCACTGCAGTTTCTTGTATTTAAGATAGGAGATGATACATCACAGCAAACGGTGAGCTTCAGATGAAGCACTTAAAATACTAATCCCATTAAAGCTCATTGTTTTCATGGATTTCATCAAACTTTGGGTTTAACTCCAGGCAGTGCAGCTTTCTGAGGGGTTTGTGTTCAGTTGAGTCAGAAGTGCAGGTATAGCACAGACTTTAGTCACACCTTTTGTCATTCCGATTTTCCACTGCTCTTTTAGCTCCTGCTAAATATCATGCTCAGACTTGAGCAAATGTTTGTACGAACTTTAGTGAGTTTGAGCCAGGATGATTTGGGTTGCAAGAATTGTCATGCACATTTTGAATCTAATGAAAAATCTACTTTTAAAGCTACCCACTTTTTTCAGTCAAGAACAGCTTTATTTAAATAGGAAATTCTGTCAGTGATTACATACTTGAGAAACAATTCTGTGGGAATGGATGCTTCATAACCTGACTAGACAAGCTGTCTCTTTTAGAAAGCTAAATACATTTGTAGGTGTCTTGTGTTCCTGCAATTTAAAAATGTTTTCCTTTAATTCTAAAGGAGGAGAAAATGAAAAACATCTACATGACCAGTTTTATATATTCACAGAACTTTAAATTTGTTAATTGTTGTTAACAAAATCTTCCCTTGATGTTTGCGGCTGCACAAAATTGTGGACTGATATTTTATTTATCTTCACATTTAGAAAATATTCTTGCTAAAAACTAAGTGCTACTAACCCCTGCAAATGCATATATCATGGCCAAATTTTGACTTGGGAAAGCCAATATAGTTAGAATTTTGCTAACATTTTCACTTTCTGACATCCAGGGTGTTTTCAGAGTGATTTTTAATTTTCAATTGAGCATATATGAAAGGATATTCCAGAGGAAGTATGCAAGGAAAACATTAACCTTAGTAGTATCTAGCAAATTTTAACTCAGGAACAACTTCCATCATAACAATTTGTTTTGCATTATATTGTAAAGAGTGGTGTTGCTATGTAAATCTGCTGACTCTTAGTACCTGTGATATTATAATTTCTGACAGTACCCCTACATTGACATCTAATGAACATGCCTTAAACACTGGGATGAAACAGTTGTTAAATATGACCAGGACTTAGGGACTGATTTTATTCAAAGTGGATTGGGAAGACTAATTTTTACACAAACACATACACACACACACACAAAAAAAAAAAAAAGAGAGACAGAAAATGTTGTAGGTAGTTTTTGTCTCTAGTGCAGAGAGCAGCTTCTGACTTTTGGGAACCAAGTACCTGAACTTGTTTTCATTGATGATTTGTTACAGTGTATATAGATTGTAAATGTCACCATGGACCTTCTGAATTGTTGGAAACTTTACATAAGCATGGATATATGGGGCACTGTTTATTTAACCTATTAAAGGGTTGTTTGTTTGCTCTCATCATTTAGGGATGAGGAGATGAAGCCATTTCTTATCCTATAGATGTGAAGCACTTTCAGTTCTGAACTGTCCAAAATGTAGCATAACATTTCTCTGTACTTACTGATGTATATGTGTTTGTCTCTCCATGTCATGACATCCTAAAGATTGAATAACTGACTGCTTTTGTATAAACCTTTTTAATGCAAATCATTTAGGGAATTTAGAGTATCTGTTTACAGTGTCTGTGAAGAACTCTAGTTTAGATGTCACAATAATATCCTGGTATCCACTACTAAAGCGTTTATGCTACATTGTAATTAAACCATGAATTTTTCCCCTGCCCTATGAAGTGTTATGTTTCATCTAATATGTGGGCTATGAGATGAAGGGAAATTTCTTTCAATTTTTTGCCATTCATATAAATAACCACCTCTCCAATTTAGTAGCTGCTATACCATCTTGAAAGAGCTTTTTCATGGTCTTTTATAATAGTAAATTGATGCCTGGGAAAAAAAAAAGCCAAACAAGGATTGTTTAGAGAGGTAGAAGGAGGACCTTAACTGTCTTATATTGCAAAATGTTCACTTTCTTTGGCAACCTGACCTGCTCAGGTAATGTAAGAAATGGAGGAGATCAAAGACCAAAAATAGTGAAAGGAAGAAACACTAGAACCTGCATCAAGTGAGTGAAATATGTCTACATGCATTATTTATCCGAATAGAAATTTGTGTTGTGTGTCATAGAGACTTTTTGTGGTTGGTGCTGCCTGAAATAGGGGGAGAGGGGTGATTTTTATGGTAGCAGAATCGTCAGTATGGCTTTATGCCAGATGGTGGGTTGGGTTAAGGAAAGTGCAGGGAGTAATTTGCTTGACGAGATTGTTTCAGTCTTTGGACAAGGCATTTGAAGGGATTAGTAACATCTTGGGTGTGTGAAATGATATATTTATTCTAGCTTAGTTCACTAAGGAGATATACTTAGAGGACTTTATTTGGTAGTGGTTTATAATTATTCTCAGAAGTCTCACTTTCTAAGTTTTCTCTGTAAAAGATGGGTATTTTACACAGTTTGAAATGGTCGCTTCCTTGTCACCTGAAGTGTTTTGGGGATTTTTCTTTCTGAATGTTTTTTATTGGGGTAGGTTGACCATTGCAGGCTGCCAGACCCTCACGCAGCTGCTCTCTTACTCCTCTCTGTCAGCAGGAGACAGGAGAAAAGTAAGAGAAAAGTTTGTGCACTGAGATAAAAACCACTGATTTCTTATTGTTCAAAACAGAAAAACTAAGCCACCTTTCCCTTACCCTACTTCTTAGGCTGAATTGGACTCTTCCATTTCTGTTGTCCCTGTTTTCCAGTCTCCCCCCAGCAGTGCAGGAGGGTGGGAAAGGGGGTTTTGGTCTATCTATAACAATTCCTCTTTCCTGCTCCCACTTCATGCTTTTCTCTGCTCCAGTGTTGGTCTTCTCCATGGCTGGCAGTACTTCAAGGATAGATATGCTCCAAGGTGGGTTCAATTTGGGTTACAGTTCCCGCCAATGTGCCTGCCCCACTGAAGGCTCACTGTGGACTGCAGATTCCTTCAGTGCATCTGCTGCAGTGTGGAGTCCTCCATGGGCTGTAGGGGAAAACCTTCACTGTTGTGTTCTCTACAGGCTGCAGGGGAGCCTTCTCCAGCACCTGTGGCACCTTGTTCCTCTCCTCCTCCTTCCTGAGTGTTTAGAGGACTTTTTGTTGCACTTTTCCCTCACTGCTGCACTCTAAAATGGGTGTTCCTCAAGGCACTGCCATTTTGTCCGAGGCTGAGCTGTGTCCTGTTGGTTCAAGGGATGTCTCAGTTACATCCTGTTGGACCTGCTACACCTACCAGGCTCAGAAATTCCGGTGCAGGACTTGCTGTTACCTGCTATCACACCTTTGCTCGCTGTGATGAGAAGGGAAAAGAAAGAGCATGTAACCCTTGATTATGGGAGTGAGGGGCCTACAGTAGTCAGGGGTGGTGTGGGTTAATGTGTGTGTGTGTGTATATCTAGATACTCCATAAGTTCCACAGTGCTGATGCTGAAGGGTCCCAGAAAAGAGGAGTTTGCACTTTGGAGAAATGCTGAGATGAAATTTGAGATGAATTTGCTCTGCAAGACATGCTCCATCATCTGGAAAAGGGACGGAGGCTTGCCATATTCTGCCTTGTGTACTCAGCACTTGAGCTTTCTCTTTAATACACGGGTCAAATACTCTCTTGGAAAGGGAGCTGAGCCTGCATTTGGAACAAAATTAACCTCTGGAGCTCTCCAATAATTTGAGTGGCTGCCTTAAAGCCACTGTCCAGGCCTAAATCTAATTCTTGTGTCCTTAGGAAGACATGAGAGCTACAGTCCTGCAAGTTACTATGAATAGTTACAGCTGTGGTACCAATTACTTCGTGCAGGTCTTCACAGTCCAAAATTTGCTCAGGTGCTCCCAATAGCTCCTGCACATTCTCACTGATCTCATTGTGTTTCTCTGTTGAGCATGCACAGGCTCTCCTTTGTGGATGGCAGAGCTCACTTCTGTGGTGTTCTTCTCCCCATCCACTGTCGTGCTCATTTGTGTGGGTGTGCACGCCTGCAGGCATATCTACTGGCTTTACAATAACATGGCACTGCTAACCAGCCTGGGAAAGGAAGCACATTTTGCTGAATCCAAACTTAACACTGTACCAGCTAGTAAGAAGAGAATGAACTCTATCCAAATTGAAACCAGGACAAACCTCTTCCTAATGTCCATTCTGCTGTCATATATAGGCCTGGTGAGATTCCCCAAGCAATTAATTTTTTTTCTTAGTGTATTGCTAGCCACCTCTTGTCAGTCAAGCAGCCTGTGATAGCTGTGTGTATACAGTAGACAGAGATGAACAATACAGAAATAGCATGTTTTTGCAATATTTTTCCAGCAGGGGACTGTGTTAGCTTCTGCTATATCAGAAACTACTCACTTTCCCTGAATTTGTTAATATTTCTACTTTTGTATGCTTTTATAACCAAATGAAGTTAACTTTTTGTATATTTTGGAACAGCTTTTCAAGCTCCAGTAGGTACAGTCTATTAGATACCTTTTGTCCTGTAGTACAGAGGTAGACAGTCACAGTTGAAAGTGTTCACATAGCATTTGACCGAGCTGTGCCCATTGGATTTGTGCCGTGGGTTTTTAGCACTTCCCCACAGCACACATGACTTACTGTAGTGTCTGTATATTCAGTATCACAAGGGCTCTTCTAGCAAAATGCAGTGTGGAGGTAACACAGGATCAGGTTTATTGTCAGGCAGAACTAAGCAAGGAATTTTCTGTTATCACTAACTCATTTAAATCTCTGGCCTTGGTCTACAACAGGCAGAATTTCAGAGGAGCTGAGAGAAATCTACTGCTACAACATCTAACACATGAAATCTCCATTCTGAGACTGAACTGAGAAAAAACTGGGATGATGCAATGCATGCTCCATCCACTACACTAGATTTCCTCACTGCTGGGAATTTATGAGATAGGACTATTAACAGTGCTGGGAGGGGCAAAGAGCCATGCATGGAGGGAGCATGGTAACTTCCCTGGGCTTGAAGATAAGCATTTGAAAATACAGGCTCAAGAAAGTGGCCCTGCTGTGCCACGACCCCCAGATTTTCAGCAGGATTTCTGCCACTGCATCCAGACCTGGCTGCATGTTCTGCTGTCTGTCTCATCTTTACTTCTCAGGTCCACACTGAGCCTTCTTTACCAGGCTAAACAGTTCCAGCTCCCTCAGCTACTTCTATGATTCATTGTCCAGACCCTTCACCGCTCAGTTGCCCTTCTCTGGACACGTTCCTGTGCCTCAATGTCTTGCAGTGAGGGCTCAGAATTGAACACAGGATTTGAGGTGTGGGCTCACCAGTACCAACTACAGGCGAACAATCACTGCCCTGCTCCTGCTGGCCACACTATTGCTGATACAGGCCAGGCTGCCATTGGCCTTCTTGGCCACCTGGGCACTGCTGGCTCATGTTCAGCTGCTGTTGACCAGTCCATCCTGGTCCTTTTCTTCCAGGCACCTTTCCAGCCTTTTTGCTCCATAGTGCTGCCTGGGCTTGTTGTGAGCCAAGTGCAGGACCTGACACTTGGCCTTGTTGAACCTCATTTTCTTGGTCTCAACCCATCAAACCAATCTGACAGGTCTCTGCAGAACCTTCCTGTGCTCCAGCAGATCAATATTCTACCCAACCTGGTGTTGTCTGCAAACTGGCTGAGGGTGCACTTGATCCTCTCATCCAGATTGTGAAGATATTAAAGCCCTGGGGAACACCACTTGTGACCATCCAGCAGCTGGATGCAACTCCATTCACCACCATTCTCTGGGCCTGGCCATCCAGACAGTTTTTTACTCCTCAAGCAGTGCACCCATCTGTGCCATGAGCAGCCAGGTTCTCGTTTCTCCAGGAAAATGCTGCAGGAGACTGTTTCAAAGGCTTTACTGAATTCCAGGTAAACAATACCCACAGCAGGGATGTTGGACTAGATGGCCCACTGGTGGTACTTTTAAATCCTTACCTGTCTGTGACTCTGTGAAATGATGGAAAGTGTCTCAGTTAGGACTTCCACCAATGCCCCCAGTATGCTCAGGTGAATCCCATTCAGCCCCATAGGCTTGTGTGATGTAGCAGATCTCTTTGGATTATGGGAGCTTCGTTCTGCTCCCCATCTCCCTCTCTCTGTTTATGGTGCTGGTATTTTGGAATCTGTTTAGATGTGACTTTAAAACAATTTTGATGAGCTGGGTTCTATTAGGAAGTGAAAGAACACTTCAATGCAAGAAATAATGTAACATTTCAATGTATTTCCCACTAGTAGGGAAGCACTCAATTGAAAGAAAAAGCATATAATTCTCTGGCTATTCTGAATGACTTCCTGCTCATTAAGAACATCAGATTTTATCAACATCCACCATTAAATACTTGACATAAAGAATTCTGTGTTCTGCACGTCTGTAGATAATGAGCTCAGATGCATCTGTGTAAGTTGAGAAGCACTGGTGCATAGCAGAAGGAAAAGTAATTTCTACCTTAATCATTATACATGTCTGTAAGGCTGAATTCATGTGCACAGCCTGATGTGGTGTGTGCCAGGAGGATTCTTCTTGGCAGAGACTTGAAGGCTAGTCCAACCAACCTGTGGAAACAACCGTCATGCTTTGAGCTGCACCCCAAACCAAAAGCATGGTGAAAGTGGGTTTGCACGCAGGGAAAGTAGGCAGCTTTGTGCAAAGGTGCACTATGGGGGGGACATGACAAAAGAAACAGGGAGTTGTGACGTGCAGCTGCCTTGTGACGTAAGAAAACCACAGTGAAAATGCCCTTATGTAGTGATCCTGATAGGGGAAGTATTGCTGTGCCTTCAGCAAGGCAGCGTGTCCTGTGTGGGGTGCACACTGGGAAGAACAAGAGTGTGAAAACTTGAGTGGGAAGTGGCAGACAAGTTGTCTGGCATTACTGAAAACCCTGGCTATTGGAAGAGGTTGGAGTGATAGGCTTTTTTTAATGGGGAAGCATGACTGAAAACATTGTGCAACCAAGAGGAATGTCCCACATGAGGTGGAAATTTTGGAGGGTTTTTTCCCACAGAACATGAGCTTCTTATTCTACTCTTTTCTGCTAGTGTTCTCTTCTTTCCCATGTCCATGTGCTCATGTGACCTTGTTACAGTGAGCTCATGGGCACCCTTTGCCTCCCTTCCCCGAGACCCTGTGACTCTGATCAAGATAACCCCTGGATCCTCCTTCCTGCCCCAACGGGGTTGGCAGAGAGCCAGGGAAGCCCACCCTGTCCAAAACCTGTATAGACCCCTGAGATTTCCTGTTCTCTCTCTTTTGCCCCGCTCTCCCATGGACACCAAAGAATAAAGAGAGCTGTTCCAACACCCTGGGGTAGGTAAGAGCCTCTTTTGAATACTTTTCCCTCTCCTGGTATTCCTCCCCTCACAGCCCCTTATCTCTGAGCTAGTCAGATTCTTTGGGGGGCTGCGTGGAGGGGGGGAAAACTACATGACCTCACTGAGCATCGGCCCACATTGTGGGGAAAGAAGGGTGGGATGCAGGTCCTGAGCAGCCGGAAGAGCTTCTATCCTGAAATTTTAAGCTACTGACCTTGGCTGCACTGAACACTTTATTTTTTCTCAACCACGTTAGAGTCCCTTGTGTCTTTTTTCTGTTTTATTTCCAACTGAACCCATGGCTTTCCAGAAAGTCTTCTTCATAGCTTTGCAAACAAAGTCAGCAGACTGCCATGAAGAAACACTTTTTGTTAGTGTGATTCCTCACAGCTTCCCTTCAGCTTCCAGGCTTGGCCTTTGCCTTAAGTCACAGGTCACTGTCTGTGTTCAGGCAAGATCTTCACAGGGGAGATCTGGATCTTGTCTACTGGGAACCTTGTCCAGTAAGACTAGAAAGCAGAGATGTAGTTTACTTTGTGCATTCATGCATTGTGGACATTGTAATATATTAAATTACTCAGTGAGTTATTACTTGGTTCCTAGGCAGAAACATGCTGCTGTACGACTGTTTTGCATCTTGCCTTGACTGTGTCTTGCAGCATTTGGAAGTGCTCTGTGATCAGCCTTAATAAGGTAGAATATTTAATCTTGATTTAAGGAGAATAATTTACAGTGGTTTTTGGTTCTAATGACTGTTGGTTTATGGAAAATTAAAGGGCTCATTCCCTTTGTCAAACATGGTTGAAGTCTGAACCTCCATCGGGAGGGTCAGAAATTGTTCAGATTTGGAGGGAGTATGGAAAGCAAGGAGTTGGCCATTTTTGCCAGATTTTTTTGGCTTTTGCAGGTACCTTAGGAAAGTGAGACAAAAACAGTGTACAGACTTGTAATGAATCAAGTGATTACTTGTCAGTCTTGAAACAACTGAAAATAACACAATGGAGCTGGGCTACATCAGGCACCTCAATGAGACACTGGCACAGGTTGCCCAGAGAAGCTGTGGATACCCCATCCCTGGAAGTGTTCAAGGACAGGTTTGGTGGGGCTCTGAAGAACCTGGTCTAGCAGAAAGTGTCCCTGTCCATAGCAAGGGCTTGGAACTAGATGATCCCTAGGATCCCTTCTAAGCCTCTCTGTGTTTTTGTGGGGCGCTGGGATGTGGGTGCCTGTGTGGCACTGCCCAGCACGGCTGAAGTCTGCGGGCTGCTGGAGGCTGTGCCCGTGGACAGCCAAAAGGTTATGTGGATATTTGCAGTTCTGCTAAAATCCCCTTTCTAAAGTCAGTAACACTCTGCTTGTTTAGTTGTGAAGTTCTGTTTTAAGAACAGCTCGTTGCCCAACAATTTTAGAATATTGTTTCTGGACTTCTGTCCCCCTATTCCAAGTGAAGTAATGCCGTGGAAATATGAAGGAAAAAATATATAAAAAGTTGAGGCATATTGATTGAGGGAAATACACTGATTTACAGAAATCTGGTGCAATATGAACAAAACTGACTAGAGCAAAACTAAGCTTATAAACCCCACTCTATGAATGTGTCACAGACTCTTGTGTCTTTGGAGCATTGTCCTCCAGCTCATGGCTCAGGATCTGTCACTTCCATCAAACTCTCTCCATTTGATTGCTGGCTCTTGACTGCAGAGTCCATGAATTTTGTGCTGGCTGATGTGGTCCTGGACAAACCCTTTCATCCAGCTCAATGCCTCTTCAAGGGGTGTTCTTCAGGCAACCCCAATCATATCTTTCTGAACCTGCCTCTTTTTCATCTCTCCGTGAAAGCCCTGGTCTGAACCAAACACAACTGGCTACTTAGATGCTGCTTAGTTGCTCTCCTGGAGCATTAATTGTAGGGCATTGTTTGGATGTGTTCTACAATTGTTCACAGAAAAATACTTTAAATTAATCTGATTAAATGGATATGAAACCAACATGACTGTCCACATTAAGATGAGAATTAAATGAAAAGCTGCGTAAAACAAAAAATAAAACCCATCACGTGTGGCAGATCTCTTCTTCAGCCCCTGTTTTGTGGAAGTGATACTTGTACAGGTGAAAACTGCAAAAATGGAATATTTGAGGGACTGAATCCAGACATTTGCTGTAGCAAATAGTGTTGTGCAGGTAAGTATTTCCCTCTCCTCTGCCAATTTTTGAGAATTAAAGCATACCTGGAATACAATGACTGACAATCTTGTGACTTTCCCTTCCTTCCAGGCTTTGGAAATTACTCAAAGTAAGTTATGTTGGAGCATTTGGCTTTGAAATAGTGATAGATGGGACAAGTTGTTACTTCATAAGTTGTGGTTTAGGAAGCAAACTGCTTTGAATGAAAATATTTACTTTGGGTTTACGTGCCTAAAGTGCAAAAAGCAAATGCTGTACTTCTATTATGTGAGGCCCCAGGAGAATACACAATCTGTCTTCAGGGCCAGAAAAAACCACACTGGATGAGAGAAAATTCTGAAATGTAAGCAGTCAATATTATAGCACTTCACCACAAAATTGTAAATACTGTAAATGAGTCATGCCACTGCTCTTAACTGTGGTAAAGCAGTAAACAGGATCCAGGAGTTCAATGGTGCAGTTCAGTCCTGCACTCATCGGGAAAACAAAAAAGGAGAGTTTTTGCAAAAGCTGAGTGCTTCTGAAATCTGGTGCAATTGACAAGATTTAAAACATGATCGACAGATAAGGTTCACAGAACATTTCAGCAAAGGCTAATTTATCTTTGTTCACTGTATGAGACATTGCATCATGAGGAAATTGTGTGGTTTGGTGAATAATCCTATATAATGCATTTTCAATGTGGAAAAATATTAGAAAAAGAAAACCAGAGAATCTTGTAATATATATTGTATTATCTTTGGAACAAGCACAATCTTCACAAAAGCCATGATGGAGTGATGCAGGCTGAGGAAGTTGGAGGTCTGCTAGCCCCTCTTCTTTCATATTGTTTATATCTCATGATATATATAATTCATTATATATATCATGTATATGTCTCATTACATATTCATGTACTGTACTTATCCCAGTGTTGTGCTATTTGTGTGTGAATTAGACAATGAAATGTGTGTTTTATTCTGATGCTTGGGAGTACTGAGCCTGGATGAACTCCCTAGAGCTCCTGGATAATGCTCTTGGCTACCTGGATATCTGCATCCTCTAAAGTGCAACTCACCTAGGGCTCTGTGAATGCCTGCAGGGAGGAGGTGACGCTAAGCGTGGCTGTTCACCAGCCAGTGTTGGAATTTGTTTCACTACACAAGGATCAGGAGCAGGGGTACATAGGAGCAATGGGAACAGAAGCCCTGAAGAAGATGTAAATTAAGGACAGCTCACAGAGTACAAGCAGAACAAAGAAACATCTTGTGAACTCAAGATGAGTCCCCAAAGGACGGAGAACAAGCCAATGCGTGTAAGGTTTTCTGTGCTCGATGTGGGGCAGTAGGACTTGGAGGAATCGCATCAGTCGGGAGCAGCAAAGCAGCATCATGTGCTGTAATGTACTAGTGCCTTCAAATCAGACGCAGAAGCCCTAAGAAACTCCGAAGTCCACGGAGAGACCCCTTCCCATACAACTTCTTCCTGCAAGTCTGGCAAAATCCCACTGCTGTGCTCCATCGGAGTGTGCTTAGCACGCTGGCTGAGGGCACAGCGCTCTGCCCTTGCCACGGCTGTTCTCTCGGCCCGTCCCTGCCCCTCTCGGCCGGTCCATGCCCCTCTCGGTCTGTTTTTGCCCCTCTCGGTCGGTCCCTGCCCCTCTCGGTCCGTTTGTGCCCCTCTCGGTCCGTGTTTGCCCCTCTCGGTCCGTGTTTGCCCCTCTCGGTCCGTCCCTGCCCCTCTCGGTCCGTCCCTGCCCCTCTCGGTCCGTGTTTGCCCCTCAGCAAAGGGAGCGCGGCCCGCCCCGCGCGGGAGCCGCGGGCCCATCCGCGGGGCAGGGGCGCCCCCTGCTGCCCGGGAGCGCAGCGGCGGGCAGGGCAAGGCGGGGATTGAGCCGCGCCGCGCCTCGCGGCCTCCCAAGGAATCCCGGCTCTCGGCACCTCCTCCTCTTGCTCTGGCGTTCTCTTCGTTGCCCTGTCTGCCTTCCTGTGGTGGAACCCCAGCCGGCAGCTCAGCCCCAGGCAGCCGCTCGCTCATTCTCCTCACTGGGATTGGGGAGAGAATCAGAAGGTAAAAGTGAAAAACTCGTGAGTTGTGCTAAAGACCATTTAACAGGCAAAGCGCAATCCGCATACACCAGCAGGGCAGAACAAGGAACTCATCCACCGCTCCTGTGAGCAGCAGGCGTTCAGAGTTCTCCGGTAAAGCCAGGCTGCACAACCGCTAATGGTGACCTCAGAAGACAAAGACCTTCTCTCCAAATGTCCCCCTGCCCCTTCCTCCTTTTACCCCATCTTTACATGCTGAACATATGGTGTGGGATATCCCTCTGGTCGCTTGGGATCAGCTGTTTTGGCTGTGTCCTCTCCCAGCTCCTTGTGCAGCCCCAGCCCCCTCAGTGGTGGGTGAGATGAGAGGCAGAGAAGGCCCTAACACTGCAAGCCCTGCTCAGCAATAACACTGTGTTAACACTGTTTTCACCACAAATCCAAACACAGCACCACCATACAGACTACTATGAAGAAAAAGAACTACATTCAGATCAAACTAAGTGCAGCTTTCTTCACAAGTTTCTAGAGACTGCATCTGGCTGAATCCAACCTTCTGCATGTTCACTGTTCATTTTCAATAGAATATGGTCTTGTTGGTCCTCATCAATTGGCAGATCTGTGGTATTGTGTTCTATCACCATAGCTCTCATTTTCCTAAAAAAGATGACCCAAAATTTTTCCTTCAGCTATCTGTGATGATAGGTGCAAGTGGTATTGAAAACTACTGGGAAGCTTTATTCCTAGCTGGAACTGGGATTTGGAACCACTATCTCATGTTAGTAGTGAGGTGCAGAAAACCTGAACCCATACTGAAAAAGAAAAACATCCTTCCAAACTATGGCTCCTGTTTTGGCTCAAGGATATTTAAATATCTAAATCCTATTAGTTTTTCCCCATTGCCCAAGGGAAAGACTGAGTGAGCTGGTCAAGCTGGTCTTTCTTTTTTTTTTTTTTTTTTTAAACTTAGGTTTCTTGCTTAGTCAAGCTTTGAGTCCAGGAAAACAGACATTAAACTCAGGCTGGGTTCCCAGGTGCTTGCTTTAAAAAAAAAAAAAAAAAAGAGGTGGGCCTTTGCTGATATTTGCCATAGTTACCATATTTCAGAGCCCCCAGGCCTATATTTGGATTAGAAATTTGACTGTAGCAGAGAGGAGCAAGCCTGAACTTGATTGCATCATCATCTCCACCTGAGCACTGAGGGTAGGATCAGTTGAAGCAGTACAGGCTTTGTTATGGGCTAAGTAAATTATTAAAACATTCAGTCTAGAAGGCACCTTGAAAGGTCTTTAGTCCAGCCTCCTGCCCAGAGCAGGGACAACTCTGAGGTCTGACCTGATGGCTCAAAGATTTGTCCAGTCAGGTCTCAAAAACCCTCAAGGATGAAAAACTCACCAGAGAACCCAGTGGGCTTGAGTTGCTCATGCTGCTGAAGGAACTTTACTCAAAACAGGAGGAATACAGATAGGCTGGGCACATCTGTAAGGCTGCAGTGCTGGTCCTAGCTCAAATAACAATGTGCTGCTCTCTTGGCTGCTTGGTGTTGAGCATCAGGGTACGTAGCCCTATACCACAGCCCCGTTGTGTACTGCAGCATAAAATACCCTGGCATGGTGCACTGCAATACCTCTACTTCCATAATATGCATATAACTTTTAAAGTGAGACAGAGCTAATTGGGAATGATGGTTATGGGGAGGAAGGTTTGCAGGTCATGCCTATGGTTCTGGACCACAGACACCTCCAAAAACACAGGTCTAAAAGGCTTCTGTTGTAACAAAATCCTTCTAAAATTTTGATCCATTAGCTCTGCATCTGGGAGATGTCCCCTGATGTGGGTTCAGTGTGTCCTTTCCTGTTGCAGGCAGTGTCCTGTATGAGCCCTTCAATGTGCCAGCACATAGCTTTCTCCCGTTTTAGTCTTTTACCTAGCTGTGCTGATTTTACAATTCCATTTCCACTTTATATTATAAAAAGATTTCTTGATTAAAATGTTGAACTACTTGTAAATATATTGAAATTGGTCAGTTACAGAGCTGTACTTTTCTTTATTTTTCTTCTGCAGTACATATTCATTATCTTCCTCCTTTCCTGTCATAATGGGAGAAAAAAATTCTATTCTATTACAGAGACTTGAAATACTAAAACCTCTGATGTGGATAATTTAAACTTATAAAACAGTAACATGTGAAATAATTATATATTACAAATTGAATCTAAACATTTTTATTTTATTCAGTCTGTCTTGTGTTTTACTGGACTATTCAGACTGGCATCAGCAAGAGTCTTCCACTGAAGTGTATTATGTCTTGAAGACTGTGTTGTTATGAATAGTCAATTCTACCTTTATTTTGTTTGCTTCAAACTTTAATTTATTCTACATATACATTACAGATTTCATTTTCAGCGATTATGAAGATAATGCAGCCACTTGCAGTGAAGTTAACTGAAAACTAATGTTAAATCCACTGCCTTTTTTCCCTCTCTTCTTTTTTTTGTTTTCTATTTTATACTTTTTGAATGCCATGCTTATGAAATACATCGCCAAACAGTTCCAGGTGAGGTGTATGTAACCAGAGACTGCTCCTTCTGTGGGCAATGTGGTTATCAGATAACTTATATTGTTCAGATGTCAGACTTTGCTTCTAATTTTGGGATAAATGTCTTTTCATGGACAATGTCTTTCAACTTTGCGGTGCTCGTGTCTCAAGCAGAAAGAGATGGACATGTGCCCATGGAGCTCACCACAGTCTTTCTGTTCTCATTTCGAGTTATTGATGCCCCTGTGCCCCTGCATGCTCCTCTGATGACTACCATCACATTGCTCGTACCAAAATAACCAAGAGAACTTCATCAGCTGGGTGGCTAATGTGGGAGGAAAATTTGCAGGAATAATACCCAGATTCCAATAAAAAAATATTTAAAGGTTCATTATAAAAATGTCTGGGACAGGCTATGTATGTTAATCATGGAGCAATCAGTCTGTGTGGAGGCAGCTAAGGACTGACTAGTGTTTCAGTTCTGTCCAAAATGTAAGCTGGTGTTCATAAGTTGATTTGTACTTGCATTTCAGAGGGCTGGTTGCATCTTCCCCTCATAGAGCCACAGGCCAAGGAGACATATTAGAGAAGAGAACAAAATATTTATGAGTAAATGGGCAGAAATGAATTTACTCAGAAATATTATTGAAGAGACTTGCAAAAATGTAGAGCAGGCATTTTTTTCTCCATGAAGGAGAAAGAAACCTGCAAAAGAGCACCTTCAGAGAGAAGTGGGATAAACAATTTTCCCTTATCTTTTCCTGTATGGGTTATGCACATCTAAGTAAAATCTGTATTTATGCAATTCTGTGATTCTTTAAATGGTGTGTTTTTAAAAATCTTGTTGTTGAAAAGATCTGGTTTCCATGAAAGAAATCTACCTAGACTGACTGGAGAAAGTTAACTAGATCAGTGCAAGAATTCCTCAGAGGACTTCCAGGGATACTGAGCAAGTTCACAGATGATAAAAAGCTGAGTGGAACTGTTGACTCCCTTGAAGGCAGGGAGACCCTGCAGAGAGATCTCAACAAATCAGAGGATTGAACAATCACCATCTGTAAGAAGTTCAACAAGGGCAAGTGCTGGATTTTGCACTTGGGATGAGGCAACCCTGGATGTACAGACTGGGGAGTGAGAGGCTGCAGAGCAGTGCCAGGAAAGGTCCCTGGGGGTCCTGGTCAAAGGCAAGTTGAACATGAGCCAGCAGTGCCCTGGCAGCCAGGAGAGCCAACCCTGTCCTGGGGGCATCAGGCACAGCATGGCCAGCTGGGCAAGGGAGGGGATTGTCCTGCTCTGCTCTGAGCTGGGGCGGCCTCACCTCGAGTGCTGGGGGCAGTTTTGGGTGCCACAATAAAAAAGATATTGAACTGTTGGAGAGTGTCCAAAGGAGGCCACAAAGATGGTGAAGGGCCTTGAGGGGAAACCACAGGGGCTGAGGTCACTTGGTCTGTTCAGCCTGGAGAAGAGGAGGCTGAGGGGAGACCTCACTGCAGTTACGGCTTCCTTGTGAGGGGAAGTGCAGGGGCAGGCACTGATCTCTTCTCTGTGGTGACCAGTGACAGGATCCTAGGAAATGGTCTGAAATTGTGTCAGGGGAGGTTTAGATTGGATTTCAGGAAAAGCTTCTTCCCCCAGAGGGTGGTTGGGTGCTGGAAAGGGCTCCCCAGGGAAGTGGTCAAAGCACCAAGCCTGACAGAATTCAAGAAGTGTTTGGACAACGCTTTCAGGCACAGAGTGTGACTTATAGAGATGGTGCTGTGCAGAGCTGGGAGCTGGACTTAATGATCCTGATGTGTGCCTTCCAACTCAGCATATTCTGTCAGAAGCTTGATCAAATAATAATGAAGAATAAAAATACAAAAGGTATAAAGCCAGAGATAGGAAAGGAATTTTTATATTAAAAAATATATTAAAAAGAAGGCAGTGTCTGTGTGAAAGTGGGTAATGGGATAAAGGGAAACTCAAAAATGGGAAAATTACTGACCTATAACTCTTCAGCCTGGAGAGTCTTGCAAGTGAGGAACTCATCTTTGCTCAACAGGTTTTAATTTCTGACTGAAGAAAAAGGTTTCTGACATAAAATTTAGGGTATTCAAGGAACACCAAAATGAGCTGCACAGGCATGTTTTCATTTTCAGAAAAATGGCCCTGCCCATAGCAGTGGGACTGGGACTAAATGATCTTTATGGTCCCTTCCAACCCAGGCTGTTCTATGATCACAGCATTATGAGCTTACAAGACCCAATGTGTCCCTCATTTTATTTTTTTTCTCCTCCTAATTCCTTTATCTTTGTGAAACAAGTATGAAAACACACACATAAGTGTATGCATGTCCTTCAGCACCCTCTTCGAGATGTGGGTTATCTCACGTGTTACAACATTTACTTCTCTGCATTTCCCCATTTATTTTAATTTACTCACTGTTGAAAAAGCAGGTTCATGAGGAGTGCAGGGGAGATGGTGTGTCTTATTGTTTCTTTTGG